CTCCTTCGTTCCTGTTTTATGGGATCCAGCCTCATCTTTCCTTTCCCTGCTGCTGCTTTCAGCAGGCAGGGTTCACCTGGGTCTCAGTGTTTCTTAACTCCCCTGTTGGAAGACACCGAGGCTTACAGATGACCCAGATGAACCATCTAGTTTTCTCCTCTGTATCAAATGAAGAGCCAAGGAAAGGGTGGCTTCTGAGTTGGAGAGGGTGCAACAGTCACCTGACCCTACTGCCTGTCACCTGACCCTACTGCCTGCCACCTGCCTGAGCGGCAGAAGGTAGGACCCATCTGTTTGTTCCAATGTAACTGGATCACAAAAAAACAGTTAGCAGGTGGGAAATTTATTTTTCAGGACACACATAAACCTGCCATTATAGGGAGGATTCTGATGCTAATTTAGATGTAAGTGAAATTGCCCAACTAGAGCTGATTACAGAGAGGTCAGAATGTCTATATGCTCAATTTCACTCCTACACTATGCATTAAGTTAATGTGCTGCTGCGATTGTGGGCATGATGGCTGGGTTTGGTTCTGGTCTTCATTTTTGAAACAATTTTGACTTTATTGAAGTGGAGTGAGGCACATGGTGTCAACTTCTGCCTTCCCCCTCACTCCCCTTTTAAAAGAAAACAAACTCTATTTTGTCCATTTCTGAGAAGCTTGAAATTTTAGTAAAGATACACTGTTGGACCTCTTAGGCCAAGAGAAAAAAGGAGTAGATTGTAAATTCATTTGCTGTCTTGTTCAGAGAACTGATCTCAACTGAACTGGTGGGTGAGAGGATGGTAGAAAGGCTGTGCATTGGTTTGGTTATTGCAGTGCTACTTTAGTGTTTTTCAGATGTTTTTGACTGAAGTGCACATTCCGAAATTTATTTTATATCTATATGTCTATATATACAACTGAATATATAACAAAGCAAATATTGTACTATATATAGTTTGAACAAAATATGTATACAAAAGTTTCACAAAACAGTGCATACTCTTACTACATGCAGTGTACTCTAATATTTTCTGTTTGAATCTAGTCTAAACTGTTAGCAAACCAATAAATTGATTTCATTGTCCACCTCTGGGTTTCAAACTGTAGTTTGAAAAACACCAGTGTAAGGGATTGGAGAGGGGCGCTTGGCATGAAGGAGGACTCAGATAAGGGCTGGCAGAGGGTGGAGAAAGTGGGTGAAGAAAGACTATTTCAAAGGATAAATTAAACTGGACTTGATAGCAGTAAAATTAAGTACCCGAGTCAGGGCTCCATTCTAGAACTTGGTCTGAAAAGTAATCATATAAGAGTGTCTAAGCAGATATATTGTTTAGGTTCACAGTTGTATTTATCTTGTCAAGGATAATTATTTGATTGTGGGAAAGAGTTTTCCTTAGGTTATTGCAGTCATTGTGGTCTACCTTTGGTAAGAAATAACATTCCTAGGCTTTAGTATCCTTTAACTTTATTATTGTGTATTATACGGTGGTAAGGTTGAACCTCATTTACTATTTCTACCAACGTCATGTGCCGCATAACAACAGGGATACGTTCTGAGAAATGTGTCATTAGGTGATTTCGTCATTGTGCAAACATCATAGAGTGTAGTGTACTTACACAAACCTAAATGGTATAGCCTACTACACACATAGCCTGTATATATGACGGGACTACCGTCGTATATGCGGTCCGTTGGCTGAAAAGTTGTTATGCAGCACACGGCTGTACTTAGAATTTCTGTGTAAATTTGTAGCTACCTGCAAATCTTTATAGAACAAGGTAGATAAATATTGACAGGCATCTCTAAGGCAAAAGGTCTTACTTACATCAACAACTGGTGGTTCTTCATAATTGGACCATGAAGAGGAGGCTACTCTCCTGTTTTGTTAATACATCCTGTTTGGGGCGTTAGCAGAAGCTTCAGTTTTACATTCTGCGCAGCAGATTCACTTTCCCCTGGTGGTTCATCGTTAGCTTTCAAGTGATCACACTTAGGCTCTGGTCTCATCCTCATTAAGGAGGTTGCCTATTGGGGGGATTAGAGGAAGATTCTGAAAAGTAAGATAATGCGGCAGGAAAAGATTTTCCAGGATAAAAGCCTTCTAAGGGCTCTGAGAATATGGTGGAGAGAAGAGATGGAAAGAGGAGGAAACCAGATTTTCCTGGTTTGGGTTAGTTTAAGGTGAGTATGACCTTGATTTATAGAGTTTGTGACTTGATGCTTAATAGAATTGAGTTTTTAATATTTATAGCACGTTATGTAAATGCCGCCCCTCCGAGTGCTTCCTTAAATCCTCTTAGCTTATAAATGACAGCTTTGATTTCTAAAAAAATTAAATCTTCATTTATCCAGCCTAAGAGTAGTAAACAATAGATGCTTAATGCCCTCCTTTCATGTCAGCCCCCAAAGACTGAGACTTATAAAGAGTTTATTGCTGTGCTTTTGAGCTTATTAAGGTCATGTGTAACTTAAGGGAGGAAAAGCTGATGCTGCATTATTTGCATTGTGATGTGCAAAGGCCGCTCCTGGAATTCTGCACAACACGTCAGCTCAGCCGTGCTCAATAGTAAGTTGAGAATACGGTATTGCAGAAACTACATGAGGGCCCATTTGGAATGATTAGTGCTACTTTTTCCTATTGACCAAGATCATTAGGAAATTAGACTTTTATCTAAGTGGTTTTGGATTAAGTTTCTGCCAAAGGACCCTGAGATTGCAGTAGTGGAATGGGTGCGAGCTAATAGAACTATGTGTTTGGTGGTGGTGTGAGTTTCCCCCTTAGCTATACTTGGTGACATCACTTATTTTATAGGTCTTTATAAAAAGTGTCCCCAGTCCCTGCAGCCTTCAGAACACATGCAGAGAAGAGGGAAGAATTAAAAAATTAACCTCAACTCTGGCAAATATAAATCACTGGATCCTTGGGGGCTGTCATTTATCCAGAAAACATTTATTAAGTACCTTCTATGTGCCAGACTCTACACTGCACTGAAGTAATAAAGGAAAAGACAGCGTGTGTCCAAGGACAGCATTAAGAGTGCCGTGAGCTTGGGACTAGAGAACACCAGAAAAAACGAGGATAGAAGCAGGGGTTGCCCATGAGAAGCACTCTTCTCAAGGTAATTTATTTGGCAAGTAGTTGATGCTTACCTGTTTCCTTTGCTATCTTTGGGCCATAGAGAGCCCTTTAAAGGTGGTCAGATGACACAGTGGTGTGTTGAATGTTTGAGGGCTCACGGCATTGGCGCTGAGCTGGAGGGGGAAGGGTGTTTACACTCTGATACAGTGCTCAGGCCACTCAGTATATTGCTGGGTGAGTCGTCAATAGATTCTGAGAGAGTGGATTCAAATGTATTATATAGGCATGACTTGCTTAGAAGAAAGAAAACAAACAAAACTGATTTGGTAATGTCCACCTGGACTCATCTATCTAGAGCATACCTAAGAACCAAGAAAATTTATAAAAGTAATTTAAGCCTTTATGTACAGAGGCATCCACATAGAGTCTAGCTACACTTATATAGCAGATTTGGAGATCTAGTTTCTAAACTGATTTGTGGATTTTGAAAGCAGAAAATTACAAGGGGAAGAGAAATGCGTATACAGTCACGCACCGAATAAAGATGTTTCAGTCAACAACGGGACCATATATACTATGGTGGGACCATATATACGATGGTGGTCCCATGAGTTAGTACCATATAGCCTAGGTGTGTAGTAGGCTGTACCGTGTGGGTTTGTGTAAGTACACTCAGTGATGTTCGCTCAATGATGAAATCGCCTAATGAGGCGTCTCTCAGAATGTATCCTCATCATTAAGTGATGCATGATTGTATTATAAAAAGAATGACCCAGTAACATATGATAAAGTGACAGGTAACACTTTGAAATGGAAGAAGAAAGAAGATGGAAAAATGGAAAAGAGATGATGTAATCACTCAAAAATTATCACCATCTGTTTCATTTAGCATGAAGTGTGCTAGACTCATGGCAGGGGAGATTTCTAAGATTTCTAGGGTGTAGTGTTAGAATCTGAAATTTTAAACTGTTTCCCTGGTGATTTTCATGCATCTCAGTTTGAGTATTTGTGTACTACAGACAATAAGGCAATTGATGATCCTTATTCATCAAGAGATGTTATATTCTGCTTTTAGTAAGACAAAGAAATGTCTGTGAGCTCTTAAAATATTCCCAATCAAATGTTAATTAAAATTTTGATGCTTTAAGCATCAAATCCTCAGCTCTTTGAAAAACTTGACTCTTCAGAGTTTTCTATTCCTTGAAAGATTGACATTTTACTGCATGGGAAAATCACACCACGTAGAAAATCTTAATTTGTGTTATTAAAAAAGTCAGTTACTTTATAAGCAGTAAACTGTTTTAGTACTTTATAAATAACACTTGATGTATATTATTCAGTTATAAAAATTTGACTTGCAACTTTCCAGAAACATATCTGAACATCTACAGCACTTTGTGTCTGTACCTCTCATTTGTCATTTGTTATATTAATAATTTTGTTTGTTAGATTGTATATATAACCCATCTTCCTGGACAGAAAATATGATCTTATGTTTCTAGCTCCTTGTACATAGCAGGTCCCAATAAGTATTTGTTGAATGACTAAAAATGAAACAAGGTATACTGAACTTTCTAATTAATCCTTTACTGACATGTAAATACTTTCCATTACCTTTTTTTTCCTTTTGTGATTACACACTAAAATCTTTATGGTATTTGAACTGCATTTGATGATCAGAGTTGTCAGAACACTTGAATTGCTTCTTTATGCCTTTGCTTTTTTCTTACTGAATTAAAGGGCAGAAGCAGCGTGAGGTATTGTGGAATGTGAATAGGTTATAGGCTTCAGATGAAGCTCTGAAGTGTGTTCTCGTGGCAGGCGTGTTCTTGCCTTGATGGGGTCACTGTGGTGAGGCCAGAGCCCGTTGGGGAGGCATGTATCACAACATCGAAAGGATGCTCACCTGTGCTTACTCTGTTGTTGGTCCCAGGTGACTGTGGAGGAGGTCATGACCACAACTGCATATCTGGACCTTTTCCTACGTAGCATCTCCGAACCAGCACTACTTGAGATCTTTCTCCGTTTTATCCTGTTGCACCAGCATGAGAATGTCCACATCCTAGATACTCTCACAAGCCGAATCAACACCCCATTTCGGGTAAGGATAGCCCCAGAGGAAGGGAATTTATAACTCATAACAGATTTCAGGAGAGTTTGTTTTTGGAATAAAATTATGAGCATTCCCTTTTGTCTCTTTCCCTTGTTTTTTTCTTGCAGTCATTATGTTTTTCTTTTGGAACTAGAGAATGTGTTTTGCTATCAGAAATTCTTTTGTCAGGGAGGTGGCACTCACTGCCTTTCAGAGAAAATTTTTCTCAACTTATCTGGCTTGGCACCTTTTTCTGTTGATCTAGCAGAATGCGCTTCTGAGGAGGCAAGATGCAGGGGAACATATGGGCTTAAGTGCAGGTAAAGCCAAGGATCAGAGTATATCAAGTCTGGGTATTAGAGATCATATTTCTGTCCACAAGTGTTTTGAAGTGAAAATCTAGCAGTTGTGAATTTAGGTAGTCATTCTTTAGTTTGGAGCTCTGATTAACTTTGAAAATCCTCTTATACCATTAGTGTCACCCTTTGCAACCCTCTCCCCAAAGGCTGTCTCTATTTAATTGCAATTATTGTTTTAAAAGCAAAGGAATAATAATTTAACAATGTATTATTGAGTTTGTAACATATATAGATATAATATGTATAACAATAATAGCACAAAGTGGGGAGAGAAGGAATAGAGCTATATAGGAATAATATTTCTATATTTCACTGGAACTAATTTAGTATAAGTCTGAATTAGAGTCTGATAAGATGTATATGGTAAGGTCTAGAGCAACCACAAAAAATATAATGAAAAAAATCATTAAGGGAATTAAAATGTTACACTAGGGAAAATATTCACTTAATGCAAAAGAAGACTGTAAAAGAGGACTAGGGGAACAAAAAAACATGAGACCTACAGAGAACAAAAAGTAAAATGGCAGACATAAATCCAACTATATTAATAATAATATTAAAGGTGAATAGATTAAAAAATTCAATCAAAATGGAGAGATTGTCAGGCTGGATAAAAAAACAAGTTCCAGCTCTAAGCTCTCTACGGGAGATACACTTTAGATTCAAAGATACCAATAGATTGAAAGTTAAAGGATGGGAAAGATATGTCATGCAAACAGCAACCAAAACAAAGCTAGAGTGGCTATACTAATAACAGACAAAATAGACTTTAAAACACGAAGTGTTACTAGAGAGAAAGAAGGACATTTTCTAATGATAAAGTGTTAATCCATCAGGAAGATATAGCAACTGTAAATTTATATGCGTCTAGAAACAGAGCCCCAAAATACATGAAGCAAAAGCTGATGGAATTTAAGGGAGTAATAGAAAATTCAATAATACTTGTTGGATATTTCAATACCTTACTTTCCATAATGGGTAGAACAACTAGGCAAATGATCAGCAAGGAAATAGGAGGCTAGCACAACACTTATTATAAACTCCTAGACCTAACAGACACTTATGGAACACTCCACTCAACAGGAGCAGAATGTACATTCTCCTCAAGTGGACAGGAATGTTCTCCAAGACAGACCTTATGCTAAGCCATAAACCAAGCCTCAGTGAATTTAAAAGGGTTGAAATCACATAACGTATGTTTTCTGATCACAGTGGATTAAAATTAAAAATTATAGACAGAAAGAAAATTCACAAATATATGGAAATTAAACAGCCCTCCTAAATAACAGTGGGTCAAAGAAGAAATCACAAGGGAAATGAGAATATACTTTGAGATAAATGAGAATGAAGACATAATATACCAAAACTTAACGCAATGCAGTGATAGCACTGCTTAGAGGGGAATGTATAGCTGTAAACAACTACAGTAAAAAAGAAGAAAGATCTCAAATCAGTAAATGACCCTTCCTCTTTAAGACATTGGAAAAAGAAGAGCAAACTCAAATCAAGCAGAAAGGAGGAGATAATAAAGATTAGAGCAGAAATTAATAAGACAGAGAATAGAAAAACAATAGAGAAAATCAATGAAAGCAAAAGTTGGTTCTTTGAAAAGATTGACAAAATTGACAAACCTTTAGCTAGATTGACCAAGAAAAAAAGTGAGAAGACTAAAGTTACTAAAATTAGGAATGAAAGAGGGGATATTACTGTCGACCTTACAGAAATAAAAAGGGTTATAAGTGAATAGTGTGAACAGTTGTATTCCAAAATATTGGATAACTTAGATGAGATAGATGAATTCTAGAAAGACACAAACTTCTGAAACTGATTCAAGAAGAAATCAAAAACCTGTGAACAAGTAAAAGCTTTTGTGCTTCAAAGGGCACCATTAAGAAATTGAAAAGATAACTCATAAAGTGGGAGGAAATTTTTTTTCAAATCATATTTCTGATAAGGAGCTCACACATAGAATAAAGAACTACAACTCAATAATAAAAAGACAAACATACTGTGCTGAGCACCCTAGACAGTGATATGCAGGAGTTACTATGGCAATACAGAGGAAGGACACCTAACTGAGACTGAGGAAAGGAGGTGTGTTGAGCGGTAATACTGAGAGAAGGAGAAGGAAGATTTCCTAGGGGAGATGATGCCTAGGGTAAGTCTTTGAGAAAAAGTAGGGGCCAGCCTGTGGAGGAGACAGGAAAAGCTTTCCAGGCAAAGGAACAGCATGTGCTATGGTGTGGAATGAATGGGATGAAGTGTGTTGCTTCTGGCTGACTGCACGGTATGACCTGTCCTGAGCACAAGAGATGTTTTGGGACAGGCCAAGTACAGCTGTTTCTCTACAACATCATTATGGATTTCAGTGACCAGGTTTTAAGTCCATCCTGCCTAGAAGACAGCTAGCACTTATTCTCCTGTGCACAGGAGAGCCTAAATTACATAAGTGGCCTGCCTGATGGAATGATAAAAGCTCACTCCCCAAAAGGCATGATGGTTTTGTAATACACCTTTAGGTCTTCCCTGTTTGGATGATTATCTTTCCTTTGTGGAAATCAGAGATTGAAAGAATTCTTGTTTTTATGAACTTGTTAGAAAAGTATATTATCACACCTCAGCACTACAGGGAATGGAACCAAGGAGAATGTTTGCCCCAAAGCCAAGAGGAGCTGAGGCTTGGGGCTGAGAACGCTAGAGGGAGAGACAGCCAGGGGATATGCAGTTTTCTGTTAGTCTTGTCTTGTAAATAACCAAGATCATATTTGAAAATAACTTAGGAAAACAAATGACTTGTGTAGGAGATTGTGTGTGTGTGTGTGTGTGTGCATGTGCGTGTGTGTATTGGGGAGTGTAGGGGGCATGTTTATCTGGATCTTTACAAGTTGGAAATATGAGCATAGGCATTTTGTAGGAGGGTAATTCTGAGTAGTGGCATAATGCCAGGCATAGGCTTTTGAATCAAATCCTATAGGAGAACTGATAGCTTTAATACACATTCTCTCTGGCAGCAGCATGTTTTTTATCAAAACTGCTAAAAAAAAAAGAGGCCATTTTATTTTGTAATTCTGATTTATTTACCGTCTGTGAGGAGTAGAGCTAGCCTTCCAATATCTGAATAGAACGTGTGTTTATTGCTTCCCAGCTCTGTGTGGTGTCCCTGGCATTATTTAGAACTCTCATCAGTTTACATTGTGAAGATGTGATGCTACAACTGGTTCTAAGGTGAGTTGCCATCTTTTGTTCCCTTTAAAGAAAAACTCACTCTATATTATTGCTATTATATTTTTGTTTGGTAGTATAAGCTAAGTTGGGTCCATGCTTCTAAGGAAGAAAATTATCAGGAAAATAAATTTTAATTTCTGCATTATTTCCCAAGGCTAATTTTAGTTTTACTATTAAAAGTTTTTAGGGGGCCAAATGTGTTGTATTATAGATATGCTCCTGGAAACAATAGATGGAATCTTTGGAAATTTTCAGAAGTATTTTGAAAGCTCTTCTGATATGTGGCTGAATGTTTCTGTTCCGAAGTGCATTTTTAGGGGACGTGTATTACTGAAAACAACTTTTCCAAATGTGAAATGCTGTTGATACATAATTTCTGTGACTCTTGCTTTAGTAATGGTACATATACAGTGTGCACTATCTGACCTGCAAGTATGTTTCAATTAAATTTAGTAAATATTTAATGAGTTCTTTCTGTATACAGTTCAGAAGGGAGTAAGGCATGCAGTAGATGAATTGAAAAGGACTTATATACAAGGTAGAAAAGGTATGTCCTTCAGAGGTATAGGTGGGAAAGGTTTCATGAAGTGGCTGTTGGAAGACAGGTGTCGAGAGTCAAAGTGGACTGCTATTAAGACGACATTAATTTGGTCATTTAGCAAGGGGACTCAGGAACACCGAGTCCTGCCTTGGCCCAGCTATGCCCCTTATTCTGGGGTCCTTGAGGGCGGCATCTTTTGTAAAGGAAGAGAGGGAGAGTTGGTTAGAGTTTCTCCTCCTACACTCCTGGCTGGTGGTGTGGGTGCAAAAAGGAGAAAGACCACCAGGGTTGTTCTGCACACTCTCCACCTCCTCCTTCCTTACTGGACTTTCTGCTCCTTCCTTTGACCACTCCTTGGGGATAAGGGTGGAAGAAGCTGAGAGCAGGGGGAAAGGGAGGAGACTTGGGCTGCCTCTGGTCCTCGTTGAGGTTTTGACATGATGAGAGTAGAATTACCGAGGAGATGGTGTTCCAGGTGGATATGACAGCATTTCCAAAGCGGCAGCTGTGGAGAAGTCCGGTGATAGCAAAGTGTGATCATGAGAACAGCAGCATGGCCCAGGAACTAGTCAGAAAAGCAAATTCTTGACCTTCTCCTAGACATATAGAATCAGAAACTTTGGGGGTGGGTGGACGCCAGCAAGCTGTGTTTTAACAAACTTTTCAGGGGGTTCTGATGCATGGCTAAGTTTGAGAACCATTGCTTTAAAGAATGGTGCAGTGTAGATGTAGCATCCTGCACAAGAGAGCGATAAAAAAACAAGGCTGGGGAAGCTGGTGGTGGCAGGATGGTGGAGGCCTCACAGAGTTATTGTTTTATGGGAGAGTATCACCTGTTCATTTTTTTAGTTTAAAAAGAGTTTTTGGACTTTTGAGGGGTTTAGATCAGGTCATCAGTAACTAATCTTAAGGCATTAGTAAAGAACAAATCCGATCATAAAGAAATACCCTGGGTATCTGGGTAGAACATTAGTTATCTGTCCTAAAAGGATTACTTTAGCTCCCCATCAAGTCTCTAGTGATATGACAGAATGCATTAGCAAGGCCTGAATGAAATCCGTCAGAGCAACTTGTTAAAGCCTTTTTTATTGCCAAAAACCAGACTTGGCCTCCAACAAGGGTAAAACCTAATTATATTTAAATGTGAAATTCTTGAATACTGCTTCTTTGATGACATGAAAAGCAGCTGTCTTTTTCAGTGTACCTGGAAGCCTGGCTTTGCTCAGAGGAGCAGAGCTTCCCAACTCTGAGTCACCAGGTCAGATTTAGCCCAGGTGGTGGAAGCTGGCCGTTCAGTGACCTTTACAAGGTGAACTCTCATCACCTTTTGTCTACTCATAAAGCAGTGCTTGTTGGGTTAAAAACTGTCCTCAGAGATTGTGTTAGTTAAAGCTCCTTTTGAGACCCAGACCTGTACCTTATGCAGGTGAAGAAATTAGCTCATGGTTAAAATATTTACATGTCCAAGTCAGGGCTAGTCATTTCCAGGGTGAGTAAGGACTAGTAATTTCCCAGGAAAGTGCCTGAAGGGCAAGTTATCGCAGGTTCTGACTAGAATCATGGAAAAAATACCAGACATAACCACCTGGTCCTAGACCCTCTGAGGCCAAGTTTCTTCTTTGTTTCTTTAATGAGGATGATGATGATAATAATAATGATAGTTCTTCTTTATTGAATACTTTCTCGATTTTTAATTCTACTGCACTGCCTAGGGGAATCTATGAGAAGAGCGAATGAGAGGACTTACACAGAAGTTGGGCACGTGGTAGACACGCAGGAGACTTTGGCCTCCTGGTCTCTGTCCTTTGAACTACTGATTTTTTCCCTCCACATTTTAAAATTATTTTAAATTATGGTAAAATACACATAGTATAAAATTTACTATCTTAACCATTTTTAAGTGTACAGTTCAATGGTATTCAGGACATTCACATTGTTGTGCAACCATCACCACCATTCATCTCCAGAACTATTTTCACCTTGCAAAACTAACACTCTGTACCCATTAAACAATAACTCCCTGTTCCTCCCTCCCAGCCCCTGGCAGCACCCTTCTACTTTCTGTCTCTATGAATTTGACTACTCTAGGTATCTCATATAAGTGGAATCATACAGTGTTTTGCCTTTTTGTACCTGACTTATTTCATTTAGCATAGTGTCTTCAGGGTTCATCCATGTTGTAGCATGTTTCAGAATTTTCTTCCTTTTTAATGCTGAATAATATTCTGTTGTTTAATACTACATTTTGTTTATCCATTCATCTGTTGATGGACATTTTGGGCTGCTTCCACTTTTTGGCTATTGTGAGTAATGCTGCTATGAACATGGATGTACAAATATCTGTTCAAGACCCTGCTTTCAGTTCTTTGGGTATACGCCCAGAAGTGGAATTGCTGGATCATATGGTAATTCTGTCTTAAATTTTCTATTGTTTTCCATAACAGCTGCACCATTTTACATGCCCACCAATGGTACATAAGGTTTCCAATTTCTCCACATCCTCGCCAATATTTTCTGTTAAAAAAATGGATATTTTAATAATCAAAAATGACAGATTTGAGGAAGAACCAACCAGAGCTTTTAGAAATAAAAACTGTAATTATTAAAATGAAAAACAGTGTTTGAGGTAAATAGCATTTCAGATACAGATTAAGGGAGAATTAATGAACTAGAAGATAGAGTGAAGAAGTTACTAAGTCTGTAACAGAAAGAGATAAGGAGCAAAAAATATGAAAACAAGGCTGTAAACAGTGGAGGCTAGAATGATAAGGTGTAACATATTCAGTTAGAGCTTGAGAGGGAGAGTAAACTGCTGATTTGACTTGACCTATTCTGATTTTGGAATTTGCTACCTCATAAGGTTTCGGGAGGATCAACTGTGGTAATATCTTTGAAAATGTTTTGAAATGCTGTAAAGTATTACACAAATTTAAAGGAGGGGAATTTTCTAGAAAATACATTTTCAACGAATAAAAACAATGTCAAAACTTTTCTGATTTAGAGTCTGTACCAAAAGCAAGGACAATGAAAAATCCTGATTCAGAAGAGTCAGTCATTTAAACTTTATTTTAAGGAACATAAAAAAATTGATGTATAGTCCATCCTTTTTGTTGTTGCCACTGTAGTCATTCGAATGTACATGATAAACTTGTAAATCTGAGAGGCAATAGAGCAGTGAAGGTTATGTGAATCCTTTTAATGAAGTTACTTGTTATGTGATAAATAATAACTGTATGTCAATTTTTGTTGCAATCCAAATACTCTTAAATATTGACATTTCAAAATGATAATCCATTTGTAATTGATATGTTTCTTTCATTCAGCAAAATATCAGAAAAGTAACTTGAAATAGGGTACCCAAAAAGAGAGGCTATTTTAGTGAGCAGAAAGCCAAGGAGAAATTGTCCACCTCCATGGATGTGACAGATGATAGGCCAAAGGCAGGCAGGAAATGCTGACAAGCAGTGAAGTGACAGATCACCCCCATGTTCCTGGCACTTCCCAGTTTAGGCAAAATTTAACTGCTGAATTAAATTGCTGAATGCCATCGCTGAATATTCTGGTTAGGGTGTTTTCTTCAGAAGAGCTGTTCCATTGTCAGGTTTATGAACTGCATTGCCTGTTGTGTTCAGATAGAGGCTATTTTGCTCGAAGAGAAGCCGTGTGTACACCTCAGGAACATTTCCATCTTGCATAGGAGTTACGTGTTTGGAGGAGAGCAAAAAAATGCCAGATGAATAGGAAAATAGGATAAGATGAATAGGAGAAATATGGCCAGGATGTCTTTGAAAAACAAACGATCTTTTTGAAATTCACTAATGTTGCCTTGTAGATTTTGCCTGTTGGTGCATTACTGAGGTTGTCATCATCTCATAAGAAGCACCTTGCTTACTTTGTTGGACTTCACTGCTTTGTTCTTTGATTTTATCATCACTGTAGTAATAGGCAATATGTGTGCTTGGATGATGATTTATTTTAATGAGTGATATCCAGGAAAATAGAAAATAGACCCAGGGTTACAGAAGGTTGGGAAATAATGAAAAAAGGGAGGACAGTGCGGACAACAACGTTTTTTTCCCTGCTATATTGTGGAATGGCCTCAAGTAATCTGGACCTCTAAAATCAGATATTTAATAGTCTCTGATTGTTTTTTACTGCTTCCTAAATTTAAATTAAATCCCCAAATAAAATAAGTATAGTATAAATGAAAAGACAGTTTGATGACAAATACCTATACTAAATTCCTAAATGATTTTTCTGCTATTGACAGTGACTTCATTTTGATATGTGATGTTTGGGGAGCTCCTGATATTCATTCTGTTCCTAATCTTTCCCTGTAAATGATGGAAAGACAGAGGGTCAATGTACAGTTTTCCCACTCTTCCCTCTGGGATAATCCTTCATTATAAAGGCACAGTAGAAGTACTGCTTTGGATATAAGGGGGGTTATTCATTTGAACTGACCCCCCATTTTCAATTTTATTGATCCTCTCCTTCAACCTATAGGGATCTCCCTTTATTTGATTTACTCAGAAGAAAATTCTTAGTTTCTACTGACGGCATGTATTTGTAAAGTTGCAAATTCCCAATAACACTTTATTCTAATATAATTTCAAGCTACCCACTGGTGATATTTGATAAATATCTTTATTAGGTTTGATCCAGTGTTCCTTTTTTTAATACTTCAAACAAAGAGTAGACATCTGTGTATGTCAACTTAACTCATGAAATATGTTTGGTTTGAGCTGTAACTAGTCATTGAGTTCCTGCAGTATATAAAAACATTGAAGCAGTTTATTTCTTAAATAATTAATGATCAAAATAAGGCTACAGTAAATCCTGTGAATTTGCCTAGACCTCACCAGCCTTTGAGAACAGAAGAGTTCAAATCAACAACCATAGGCTAGGTTTCCCTGCCTCTCACCTCTACCCCTCAATCTAAGACCTTGGCCCTCTGCAAAGCATCAGTCGTCACTTCTTGGGGGACCCCAAGGGAGAGGTCTTACATCTGTTCATGACCAAGTCTGTCCTCCACCACAGTTGCCACAGAAGCATCTGCCGTGGTCTCCTCACCTGCTGTGGCCCCTTTGGTTGGTGCTGCCTCACCTCCGTCCCTGCTGGACGCCCCCCTCACCCCGAGAGTACATGGGTGCTGAGGTGCTGGAGCAGCACTGCCTTCCCTTGTGCCCATGGGGCCAGAGCTGTGATGTGTTCACACAGGTGGGAGAAGGCCTCTCTCCCTGAATCATTCTTGGTCACCAAAGCATCTCTGCTCGCAGAGATCCTTGTGAAAAGAGCTCCTTCATTTCCTGCCTACAGCATCCATTTCTTCTCCAGTAGGGCTCAGATACAAGTCCCCAAAGCTAGGCCAAGAATTAGAACAGACCTGCCCTCTTTCCCATACTGTCTTCTTCTATCTTTCCTTTTTGTTCTTGTAACCTTTGACTTTTATGCAACTGAACTTATGAAAATAGATGTCTCCACATCAGACACGTGGGGTGTGTCTGGATCTTAGTGATAGCAGTTTAGGCTTCAGGTGTGTGTGTGTGCCCATGGGCATAGGGGAGAGGAGAACAGGACCCCCTCACCTAGCTACCTAGGTAGTCAGATACTTGAGGAATGGTTTGATTTTTTTTTGAGAAAGGAAGGTTAAATGGCAAGTTTGTCATTTCATACCTTGAAGTAATTAAGACCTGTGGTGTAAAGTACCATGAAGAGAATTAAATCTTTTTTCCTCCTTGACTCAGGCTCTTGCAGTAGGTCAGTCATCAATATAAACATAGATTTTCCTCATTTGGATCAACAGATGTGGGAGACAGCTTAATATTCGCAGGCCTCAAAACCCTGAAAGTTGTGTGCTTTTTATCTTTTTCACTGAATTCTAATTATAGCGTGTTTTCCTCTGTGCTGCCTCTTTCTTGAAAGCTAAATACAGAAACAAAAACATTCTGGTTTATTGAAGATTGTGGTTGTTCACAGAAGGGCTCAGGCTCTTCTGGAACTGGCTCCTGAACACACATGTGATGCCTGGCTCTGGCTATGAGACCTCCATCCCATTTTCTCCATCTTTGTTTAAATAAACAGTATAGCCTTTTTCTCAGTTAAGAAGGTAAGCCATTTAAACACACTTTATTCTACCCGTGAGGCCCACTGATGTGCTCCAAGTGTGTCAGAAATGATTGCCCAGATTTTCTTGTCTCCCGGTTCATCATGATACTAAGACGCTTTTGATCACTGCTTTGTGTGAAACGGGGCCTAGTGCTCCTCAGTGGGTCCTCAGCCACCATATTTTCTGATGGTCACCCGTGAGAATATGAGAAGAGGTTTGCACTGTGGAGTGGTTCTTTGCAGGTTTGCACTGTGGAGTGGTTCTTTGCCTTTTTGTGCAACCACTATCCTTCAGTGCCCACTATGAGTCAGAGTTTCTGGGATTGTAAGACAAAACTATTGAAGGAGGTCCTTGCTCTGGTAGCACATTATGTTGAGGAGGCAGATGCCGAAGTAATTGTGATGCTAGGTAGTAGTGCTTTAGTAGGGGGCCGTAAGCATAGTAGGGGGAGAGTAGCTCTATCTTGGAGAAGGAAGCCCAGAAGCCTTCCTAGAGAAGGTGACACTGAGGCTGGACTTTGTAGGATAAGGCACTTGCCAGGCAAGAGAAGGGAAAAGCACATTCCAGGTGAAGGTTACAGTGGGTGCAAAGGCACAGAGGCAAAGAAGTATAGCAGGTCCGTTAAGAGATGAAGAAGTTTGTGGAGATTTATTTGGGAAAGCCCTTAAATGCTCTGCAATGGGGTTGTTCTATTGGAAGAAAGAAGCCCTTGACAAGTTTTAAGCAAAGGAGTGAACCCTGGGGGCTGGTGGGATTGAAAGATTGAAAGTGGGGAGAGGATGAGTCCACCCCTGGCCATGACTAGTCCTGATTATGAGTGAGGAAGTGGCTGACTGGGAAGGGACCTTGCAGAGATTGAATGCTGGGCCTTTTTGTCGTTGCAGGTATCTGATCCCTTGCAATCACATGATGCTGAGTCAGAGGTGGGCTGTGAAGGAGAGAGACTGTTACTCTGTCTCTGCCGCCAAGCTGCTCGCCCTGACCCCTGTCTGCTGCTCCAGCGGGATCACCTTGACACTTGGGAACCAAGAGAGGGATTATATTCCCTGGTCCAAGTGTATGCATGATAGTTCAGGTGGGAACTCACTAGTGATGATCTTTAAACAAAAGGATGCCAAATTCCATCTCTCCTTGGGATATATGTCTCTTTGGGTAGACAAGGAATAGTGTAGTGAGTCCCATTTCTTTTATGAATCATTAGTTGGGAGTCCTTTTCTGCTTCGTAAGAGTTATGGACACTTTATAATCAGTGTTCATTGAAGTGCCCAGCCATCACCTAGTCAGTATTCCCAGACCTTTATTTTAACTAGGCTTTCTAGCGGCGTTCTCAGAGTCCAAATATGAAAATGTGTACCAGCATGTCTTTTTAAACAAAATGGGGGTGGGAGTGTGGAGATAGCTATAGCTATGATAGAATTAGCCCTTATTTTAATTTCCAAAATGACCCATTTATGGTAGCTTGCCTGCCAATGATATACCATTATAAAACGTGAAATTTGTCATATGGTGACAGTATCTGATTCATTTGATTGAATGAAGGATTTTTCATAAACACTCTGTTTTTACAGGAGTTACAGTTCTCATGTGCTATTTGCCAGCTGCAGTTGATCTTGTATACGTAAAATTTAAATGGCCTTTTGTGTCAACCTTGGCCTCTGGCAGGCAGCTAAAGCAAAGGGGGCATTTGTGTATCTGTGGTGGTCAGAAGGCTGTTTTAGTTCGGGAAGTTTCTGCCTGTCCTGTGACCACTAGGAAATGGTCCAGTCCTGGTATTGACTCAGGTGTTTGCAATCTGCTTTCTGATACCCGCCCCCGGCAATGTCATTCTGTCTACCCAGCTACAGTGGAGCTGGGTTATATAATTACAGAGAAATATATTTTCTATAAGAGTCGGGCTACTTGACTAAGAAAATGTCAACATATTTGGGATAAATGTAATTTTTAGAAATTAAGGTTGTCTTACTGATTCTTGGTCTTTAAATAAAGATACAATGTATCATGGAAATTCGTAATTTATGTGGTGATATAACAAGTTGTATTTTAAACATATTTTCCTGTTAGGTAAACTAGTATGGATATCGTATATTTTCCTACCCAATAGGTATTTTTTAAGACATATTTGAAAATTGATGTCTTTTTTATTTACTGAAAAAGTTGTTTCAAGTATGATTGAAACCAAGGTGACTGACCTTGCCACAGAATTCAAAATTCAAGTTAAACATATTATTGTTAGTGCCTGCAACTTGCTATGTCCTTTTCCGTGTTATCACATTTAATATTTTGAAAAAAGTAGTATTCCCATTTTACAGATGAAGAAATTAACTCAGAGAGAAGAATTGACTTGCTCAAGGTTATACAGCTGGTAGGTCCCCTGATTCCAAATTCCATGTTCTTTCTGCTGTCCTGCTTTTGGGGTTGCATTACAGCAGATAAGTGCCCTAATGGATGGCTACATAGGTAGATAGGTGGGGTAGATAGATAATGTAATTATTGTGCAGTGGTTAGAGCTAGGAGTCTGAATCTCAGCTCTGCTACTTTCTTGGGCAAATCACTTAACCTTTCTAAACTTCTCTCCTCATCTGTGAAATAGTGCCTACCTCAAAGGGTTGTTCCAAGGATAAGTGACTTAGGACATGTAAAGCTCTTAGAAGACAACCTGGCATGTTGTAAGTGCTAAAGAGATATGGCTGGTAGTTGTTTTTGATATCTTTTTATTTAAAGTGGATAAGAGATAAACATTAACCTTTTAACAATAGAGCTGTAAAAAATGAATTGTCTCTCCTAATAACCTGAAAATGTGTATTGTTTTTTTTTTTTTTGCGAGGAAGATCAGCCCTGAGCTAACATCTGTGCTAATCCTCCTCTTTTTTTTTTTGCTGAGGAAGACCGGCTCTGAGCTAACATCCATTGCCAATCCTCCTTCTTTTTCTCCCCAAAGCCCCAGTAGATAGTTGTATGTCATAGTTGCACATCCTTCTAGTTGCTGTATGTGAGACGCGGCCTCAGCATGGCCGGGGAAGAGGTGCGTTGGTGTGCGCCCGGGATCCGAACCCGGGCCGCCAGTAGCGGAGCGCGCGCGCTTAACCGCTAAGCCACGGGGCCGGCCCAAAATGTGTATTCTTAAAGGTTCAATTCTGGCCCAGTCTGGTAGAGATTTAGATAATGAAGAGACAGGAAGCTTGCAGAAGTGTGGCATTGAACCTGATAAGAACCAGGTTGACGGGAGACAGCCTTGTGCTTGAGTTGTGGCTCTGCCACTGACCAGCTGGGTGATCTTTAGTCTCTGAGCCTCAATTTCTTCGTCTGTAAATTGAGAAAATAATATCTGCCGGGTAGGGTTGTTGTGAGGATTAAATTAGATAACATTGATAAAGCACCTGCCACATAGTAGATACGGTTTAAGAAATGGTAGAGTATTTCTCCTTGTCTGACTCCTTTTGTTTTCCTGAAGGAAAATGTAAACGTAAATGCAGACGTTTTCACGGCTCTTTCAGTTATACATTTGAGAACTTCTCACATCAAAGGCAGAGTATCATATGATAACACAGGAAGCAGTCTTAGGTTAAGAGGACTATTTTGGTGGTGAACATAACTTTATCATAAGAGACCGTTTGGTACATGTCAACATCCCAGTAGTTCCCAGGAAGACAGAATGAATTAACAGGCTTTTCTAAAAACGGAGGATTTTCTAGAGAAAATCTGCTTTCCAAATTCATGGATTGTATACAGACCTTCCACTTTAGAGTCAATGTAAAAATCTTTTTAATTATTACCCACTCTGTGGTAGGTACTATATTTGATATATTGCCTAATTTAATCCTCTCAACAACCTTAGGGGTTGCCATTATAGGCTCTTATTTCTCTAATGACTGATAGCAAATAACAGTTTTATGTTGACTATAGCCAGTATCTGACTTGCCATATTGGTTCTATATATTCTATGAGGGTAGAGTTTCTATTCTTATCTTTCCTTCTTAAAAACTAACCATTTTTTATTATTCAGAAGTCATTTAATCAGAAATTATTAGAACCAGTTAGCTGGTGAGATAAAGTCTTAGCAGCCCAAGTGAGTCACATCCCGTCCACTACATTGGTCCCTACACCTCCTTTACGTGTAAGAAAGAGGCTTGTTCTGACTTGTCTTTGCCTCCTGTGGCAGGGCCCATGGAGCAGCCGCTCCCGGAGGCGTTCTCTCCGTCGGCCTGCATTGTGGAGTATGGCAAAGCCCTGGATATCAGCTACCTGCAGTACCTCTGGGAGGCCCACACCAACATCCTCCGCTGCATGAGGGACTGTCGCGTTTGGTCTGCCCTGTATGACGGAGAATCCCCTGATCCCGAGACGTTGCTCCAGAGTCTAGAGGAGAGCACTACCAACTCCGCCCACCCTGTGTTCAGGCTCCCGCAGCAACTCACCGGGAAGACAGGGCCTCAGCTGGCTCCAAGAAAAGAGAAGAACCAGACAGAGCTGGAGTGGGATGACAGTTATGACACTGGAATCTCCTCAGGGGCAGATGTGGCCTCCCCTGGGCCTCATGATGATCCAGAGAATTCAGGCCCTCCGGCACCAATTGATCCCCCCAAACATATCCAGGAGATGAAGAAGAACGCCATCCTGCTCTTCAAAGGGTCCTACATCGAAGAATCCGACTTCCAGGACGACGTGATGGTGTACAGGTTGTGTGCTGAGAAGGACTCTGAGGACACTAGGAATTCGCAGGAGGAAACTGCAAAGCCACCAAGTCAAGCCGAGTCCGAGGTTCAGAGTCCCCCCATGAACAATGGCCCCCTGCCCAGCCCTCAGCCAGAAACAGATTCAGAAGAGGAACCTAATAGGGACAATTCAGACCTGTTTCAAAATGTGTCCAAGGAACCAAAACAAGAGAATGAGCCTGAAGTAGCCCCAGAACCAAACTCAGAGTTGGCACCCCCTGTCTCTGAGGCAGAGCACAATTCAAACCTGACGGTTATTAACCCAGAGGGGGAAGATATCATTGCCAGGTATGACCAAATCATTCAAGAACTGGATTCTGGCACCAAGGGCTTGATAGAACAGGATTTTTCCTCACCTGATCCTTTGCTTCTCACAAAAGAGAAAGAGGAGAAGGAAGAGGAGAACAAAGAAAAAAAGAAGGAGGAGGAGGTGGAGGGGAAAAAGGAACTAGAAGTGGAGGAAGACGACTTTGACTCTTTGATAGCGGAAACTCCTGCCCTAGAGCCCGTGCCATCCCCATTTGGGGTGAGAGAGGAGACTGCCGTTGCCAGTCACCATCCCGTGAGGACTCAGAGCACCCCGTTCACAGGTGATGATCTTAAATCGCTTTGTGATTTTTGCTTTTGAAAGTACTTGTACATATTGCAACAGGAAAGTAAGGTAGGTGGAGGTAAGGAGCATTATTAATTTGCATTATTAATTTACCTAACAGAGAGGGGGAAGTATTTTTGTAAAGAGCAAAGGGAGGTGGTTTCATTTTTATTTTAATTTGTCTTTCTTGCAATGATTTTATTTTTTTTCCAGCAAATTAGAGGTTAAATTTTACTGTTTAATCACTTCCCTTGATATGCCTGTGATAAAGTAATAGCACTGATTCAACTACGAAGAAATCCAGTTTCATTATTTAATAGCCTCATTTCCTTTAGTCTAATTTATTTTTATCCTTAGCATTTATTTTTATGTGTATTTAAAAACAATATGGTGTCCCCACTGGAATGCATGTTCCATGAGGGCACGAGTGTTGGCTTGTGCCCTGCTCCATCCCCAGCACCTGTGCAATGGACCGAGCACATGGCAGGTGCTCAGAATACTTGCTGAGTCAGGGTAGCTGTGTGCACATCAGAGGCCATTGGGGTTGGTTGTGCCCTTGCCTGGGCGCTCATTTCAGATAATCACAAAGTCTTCATCCAAAATAAGTAGAGTAGACCCGCATAAACCCATGACTCTACTAAAGAATGGGCGTGTTCTAGTGATATGCTGCCAACAACAGGTAGAAATCGTGTAAGAGGCAAAGGGATAGGATAGGGCATCAGATAAGTGGATTGGGGGTGAGGAATTATGATTGGAAACATCATTAAATATTAGCCAGTAAAATCTGAATCCGCAGATCGTGGTGCAGAGCAAACTGGCACAGACGGTTCATCAAGCTCCGGGGCAGCTGGGGTGGGATCCCTGAATGGTGTTCAGGTTGCAAGGAGACGTCCCTGAAGGAGCTAGCAACACAGAGGGACACAGTGGCCTTGGAGCCAGGCCCTGGGGGAGTCCTGGCTCTGGCACTTCCAGCCGTGTGGCCTTGGCGTCCCTGACCCTCTGCCCCTGTGAGGACTGAATGCCGGGGCGGGGGGCTGTCATTATTGTTATTAATCACATTAAGCCCACCTGGCTGCCCTTCCCTGGCAAGCAGGGAGCAGCTTGGCGAGGAAAGACCGTGTTCCCACCTCCTTGGGTCACCCAAAGTAGATGAAATCACATTACCTTCTGGTCCAGCCACTTGGGCTTAATGGGTCTTCAAGGAGCTTTCCACCCTCCTCCAATATTTATTCATCTATTTGCTGATGTCTGAAAATTTATTTAAAGAGGGAGAAAGCTTTTAATTACAAAATTAAAAGGCTTGAGGTTCTAGTTGAGATAACATTTCAGTGTGAATGGGTTTTAATTAAAATTTAATGAGTCAGTCAATCATAAGTAAAAAGGATTAGATAATCTTGCTTTTCCCAGTTGATAAGGGGAGAAGGAGGGGGAGGGGAGGGAACAGGAGGGCCCTGGCTGGCTGAAGGAGGGGCAGAGAGCCCAGTCAGAGGGAAAGGGGCGGAAGGAACCTAGTACACATCCCGGTTTTGCTGAGGTCTGTCCCATTTACCCTCATCCAGCAGGAAATCCCAGTTTCGTCCTTCAGTGTTCTCCAGGACTTCAGGGCTGCCATGGCTGATGAATGTCTGTAGAATGCCAGCTTTCTTAGAAAGGAGCTTCACCTCTGGGAAATATGTAAATCGAGGAAACAAAGTATAGCTTAGGGCAAAAATAAAAAAAAAAAAGGTAATACAACACCTTATTAAATAACAATATTTTGCATATGATATACCTGAGAACCAACAAACCATGAGTTTTTTGATACATATAGGTAAATTTTAACTAAAACCTTGCCTTTTTCCACCTTTGAAACTTGTACACAGCTTCAGGAAACATCTTTTCTCTTTCCATGTATGTGAACTTTGTCATTTCCAAGCTTCTGAGTGTGTTCTGCAGCAGTAGGCTTAACTTCCGTCTCTCCAAGGAATCCTGATTTCCACTGAAATGAATTTGCTTCTCAGCAAAATCAAAGCATTCGATTTATCTAATTAATTTCATTTGTGCATTCAGCAATCTTTTATTGATGCCCTAATATTTGGCAGGTTCCACCCTAGGTCCTAAGGACCCAAAAATGAAGGAATTTGCAGACTTCCAGAGGAGACATCAACAGAGAACTGTTGTACTCTCTTAGTGAAAAACGTGTTATTGGTCATTGTATGCCAAGCCCTGTGGGAGCCCAGTGGAGGGCGTGGGAAAGGCTTTCTAGAGGAGGGACAGAAACAGTGTGCAGAAGCTACCAGGTGAAAGTGGGTGGGAATGATAGTCCAGGCAGAGGAAACAACAGGAGGAAGACAGAAGAGTGTGACAGTGCGTGGGGTATGACCGAGCGTGGGTGGCGTGAGGCAGAGAGGTGAGAGAGGATGCTGGAAAGCTTGGTTGATGCCAGCTTATGGGGGCCCTTTGGGCCATGCTGAGGAATGGGAACCTTGTGCTCCTGGCACTGAAGAAGCCCTAGAAGTGTTGTTAAAGTTGGGGAGTGATGTGACTGGATGGTGTGTGAAAAAGCCAGCGTCAGAGTGGTATGGAGACAGCACTGGAGTGGGGAGGGATTGGTTCCAGCAAGATCTCGTAAGAGACTCTTGTTGTATCAGAATTCAGAATGCACTGATGCTTTGATCCAGTAATTCTGTTTCCAGGAACATTTTCACAGCTATATTGACACTTATGTGCCCAGATGTATATACAAAGATGTTCATTGCAGCATTGATTGTAATAGAAAAAGATTGGAAACAACCCAAACGTCCACCAGTAGGAGACTGTTTTACTAACACAACACGCGTGGCAATCCAGTATCTTGTGGCCCTGAGATGAGCGAGACAGCTCTGGATTTGCTGAAATGGGGTGGTCTCCAGGATATATTGTTAAGTGAAAAAGCCAGGTGCAGAACAGTGTGTAGAGAATGTTGTCATTTGTTTAAAAAAACATACCAAGAGATGGACAGATACACACACCTGGGAAGTAAGATAGTGTGTTGGTTAAGAGTACAGGCACTGGAAATAGATGATCTGAATTAAAATTGTGACTCTTAGGCCAGCCGCATGGCCTGGTGGTTAAGTTAGCACGCTCCACTTAGGCAGCTCAAGTTTGGTTCCCGGTGGTGGACCTACACCACTTGTTGGTGGTCATTCTGTGGCAGCGACCCACATACAAAATAGAGGAAGATTGGCACAGATGTTAGCTCAGGCCAAATCTTCCTCAGCAAAATAAAAAAAGAAAAAATTGTGACTGTTTCCTTTACCAGCTGTGTGCACTTAAGCATTCTGCCTCATCTTTAAATGGAGATAAATAATAAACATACTTCACAGGGTTGTTGTGACTATTTCACTAAGTTGATACATGAAAAGTGTTTAGAACACTGCCTGGCACATAAGAAGTAATTAATAAATGTTTTTAATAATTCAATTGTTGTTATTTTTTTACATACATAAAATGTTTCTGGGAGAATACACTTGAATCTGTTAACAGGGATTGCCTCTGGGGGAAGGCCTGTTCTTCATTTTATACTTCTACACCATTTGAAGAAAAAGACTTTTAAATCATTTTAATCTCTATTAAAATAGAAAAACTGTTGCTGGAGTCCAGACACGAAATGATGAGCCTCTGACCTCAGGCAGTAGAGGTGGAGGTGAAGATCCACATTCGGGAGATATTTCCAGGGTGGAATTGGCAGAGCTGAGGCACAGAATTGATGGTAGCTCCATTCTTGAAGTTAGGAAATATAGGAGGAGGGTGGGTGGATTTGAGGCAGGGGAAGGGTTACTTGAGGGGAGAGAAGTGAAGGACAGGGAAGGGTAGTAGAGATAGTTGTTCTGAAAAATTAAATATTTTATGGGTGGGGAGTTTATCTGTCCTCCTAGAAAAGAGGGGGAAAAACACACCCTCCCTTCCCCCTACACACTTGTGGCTTTCTGAATTGCAGCTGAGTTTTTTGATTTCAGCTGCTTACCAGTTTCCCCTAGCAACTGCTTTTTGCTAGCAGGTTTTTTTTTTACGTGCTAGAAATCAACTAAGAATAAAACAGGATTTTGAAAGGGTTCAATATAATATGTGTTTCTTAACGCACATGCCTAAGAAGTTATAATTAATGACAGTAGTGGATTATAATGATAGTCTGGTGATCTTGACCTAATGTTCTGTCATTCAAGTGAGACAATGATGACACTCTCCACAGGGTGTGGGTTCAAGCTTTTTTTTGTTTTGTCCCCCCTTGTAGTAGTGATGAATTGTGGACAGTGTCTGCTGGTCACTGCATGGTCAGCAACTTTCATGTTTGAGGAGGATGGCTGGATGAGGCCAAGTACAGTCTGGGATCTTGGGGGAAGTTGAGGGCTCACATTAAGGAATATGTTTTATAGGAGACTTTACCCACCTAAATATGACTTAATTCACTTGTCTTTGCTCCCTCTGGACGGAAACAGGTGCTGAGCTGGGGACTGCAGGAGAGCGGGCGAGAGGGGATCTACCTGGAAAGCTGGAATTGTGTGGTGATGCCTTAAGAAGAGTTACCAGTGACATTTCTGGGGTTCTTTATGGAACCCCATCAAGTTGCTTTCAAACTAGGGTTCCAATCTAGAGTTTCTGAATGTGTTTGGCAAACTCTCCCCGTTTTGTTTAGTAAGCAAGGGCTCTGCAAACGCTCTCTGTTTGGAGTTCATTGACCTCCTGAGTCATGGAAAGTGACTGAGGAGCTCTGCCCACCATCCCAAGGATGGGGAAGTAGAGGCTCAACTCAACACGTGATGCCTTGTCTGTGTTTCTGGGTTGCTTAGAGACATCCCCTGTATTCCTAGGGGGAATATTGCCATTGCTCTGTTATTTGCCTGCCTGGCTAAAGGGTTTAGGTTTGGTGTTCTTGTTTCTCACAGATAGCTTCTGTTTTCTTACAAAGTATTTTACTCTCTTATGCTATGAAAGCTTCTGAATGAAGCATCTTGTGATGAAGTATGTTTTTGTTAAACTCCTATTAATATTGGTGAAGTCTTCATAAGGCAGGTTTATTCATCAAGGGTTATATGCTTTTGTTATAAACATGCCATGGTTTAGTGGCATCATCAATAGCTCCACTGGGGGAAATACAAAATTCTCATTGATTTTGCTTAATGGACCACTGTTATGGTAAAAATGGAAAACCTCTTCAAGTAATTTTATTAATGCCAGATTTATTTTCTTGATTTTCCTTGTCTTCAGTGAACTCGCACATAAAGCATATTAATTTTGTAGTGACCCAAATTGGTCAAAGCTTCTTTTTACCTCATTTTTTAATGAACTGCTTTTGTAGTCATATGGATTTTCTTTTTTAAGGAACCTATGACACATCAAACTATATCTCCCCAAACCAAGTCCCTTCTCTTTCTTTCTCTCATCTGAAAATTAAGGTGTGTTGGCCGAGTTGACCAGGGCTAAGTTGCAGCCCAGGCTTCATTCACCCGTTGTCTTTCTCTTCTTCTGGTTCTTCCACATTGTGACATTTGACAAGACAGAATCCTTCTCACAGTGCTTGTTGGGGATAGACAGTCCCTGTTTACAGTGTTGCTCTTTGGTAAACAGAGTTCGCACGTGCTCGGTATTCTTTAATAACACAGAGATTTTTTGTTACCTGAACTTTTGATGGCCTCTAATGTTTGCATGAAGCCCTCCAGCACACAGCATCATGAGATGATGAATGTCATGCTTTTGAGTATTGGCAGCCCCCCAAAATACAGAAATAGTGTGGCAAAGTATATTTTAATTTTTAAAATTAAATTCTTTGTTGTCTGTTTTTTTCAAGGTCTGTGATAATTTTCAAACTATTAAAACACTCCTGGAGTCAAAATATTAGCTCCCATGCATGTTTTTCTGCTTTCTCTTCATGGAGATAGTTTGTTTTTCGTTTTGGTTTTGGGGCAGGAGAAGACCTGGCTGTGTTTGCTGCATCTGTATTTGATTTGCACCTGGTGGGCCCGTGGGGGTTCGGGAGTCGTGGCTCCTTTGTTGTTGGGGAAAGACATCCCCATGTGCCCAGCCAGCCCTGATGCCTTGTGTTCTTCCTGCAGGCCCATTCATCAGCGTGGTCCTGTCAAAGCTGGAGAACATGCTGGAGAACTCTTTGCATGTTAATTTGCTGCTTATTGGGATCATTACTCAGCTAGCCAGCTACCCCCAGCCACTCCTGCGCTCCTTTCTGCTCAACACCAACATGGTCTTCCAGCCAAGCGTCCGCTCTCTCTATCAGGTACGTTAGCCGAGCCCACCTCCATACCTGTTGATTAGATGGTGCTAATGAGTAGGGCTCCTTCTCCGTTTATCCTTATTATTTTATTGTTTTTCAAAAACCCCTCTGTTCTAATTCGTTTGCTTGCCTTCCCTGTCCTATTACGCTGATGGTGTAGATTTTAGACAAATTGCAAAGCTTCATTTAGTTTGATGTTTTGAGGGTGTCCTACCAAGAACACCCAGGCAGTTAAAAATGACCAAATGCCTAATATCATAATAGTTCCTGCAGTGAGGGCTGCACTTGAGCGATATAATGATAACTGAGGGTGGAATTCGTTGTGAAGCACCAGCATCATTAATGTTGTTGTTGACAGGTCCTCGCATCTGTGAAAAACAAGATTGAACAGTTTGCGTCTGTGGAGAGAGACTTCCCAGGACTCCTCATGCAAGCCCAGCAATACCTGCTCTTCCGGGTAGACATGTCCGACCTGACCCCTGAGTCTCTAACCAAAGGTCAGCCTGTGCCTCTGCTCTGTGTCTCTCCTTCAGCTGCTCCTGCATTTCCCCAGCCTCTTGATTTGGGTTCACAGATGCTGCACTGGCTTCTGGGCCTTAAAGAGATCAAAATATATTGTCATTTTTCCACCACAGGGAGGAGCCTCTTCTTAGTGTTCTTAAACCCAAAGAAAGGTCTGCCCTGCCTGCGCCTGGCCCCTCCCCAGTTTGCAGGGTCTAGTGGAGCATTTGTTTTCCTCCCTGAGAGTGATTCAGGGAAAGAGTGGTGTGTGGGCTGTTGCCAGGCTAGAATAAATAATTCGGCACATATGGGCCAGAAAGAGGCATCATATGCACACCCTGAGCCATTTTTTGGCCAGCCCTACCCTGAGGAGGGCATCTGTTCTCTTTATTATGTTTTCAGAGACTCTTCGGCCAAAAAGAAATGTGCTTTAGGGCTCTAGAAAGTAAAAACTGTTCATTTGGACTGGGAGAAATAAAATTTATGTTCAGCTTAAAATCCCTGGGAGGGCCTTTCCATCAGCTCTGGGGGTGTTAGGCTGGGGCCCTAGGAAAGCCTGGGGGGCGCCGCTGGTTTGCCTCGTTTAAGCCCAGGTTGGACAGATGTGACCGCCAGTCATCTTCTGAGCTGTGACTTGGGCCTTGGTGTGCAAACAAGGAAATATCCCATCCTGCACTGGCGTTTGCTTCTCTCAGGACAAGTCAAGCTTCTTTGTGGCAGGTGGACAGTGGAGGGAGTGGGGCTCTCAGGTCTGGGCTAAAGGCCAGAAACCAGCTCTGAGAGGCATAAATGTAACTGGGCAATTTTTAAACCTTTAAAGGAAGCTGAAACAATCCCAGAACTCTGAAGGCTTGACCTTGCCTCTGTGTGGCTGTTTGATCTTGGTCCTGCCTCACTGGGCCTCATGTTCCTTGACTCTTAAATGAGGGATTTGTTTTCCATCTCGCAAGTCCTTTCTGGCTGTAGACCTCTGGGTGTGAAGAGCCCTTAGGGCACCACAAGGCAGATTTTGAAAGAAAGGTGGGCCTTGTGCCACTGGTAAAATGCAGGGGCAGGCTTCAAGCTTTGCTCTTGAGAAGAGCAGGCAAGGCCATTCAAGGAAGGAAAGGAGCCCCACCTCTCTCTGGGGAGGTTGACAGCAGGCCCCACATGGCCTCTCCTGGCCGCGTGGACAGTCAGTCTGTTAGCTGTGTTCCTCCTCAACAGGGAGCATGCTGCTGTAACTCACCGTGTGATAGAAGGTGTGTCAGTTAGCTTTTGTACATAACAAACCACTGCAAAAACTCAGCGGTGTGAAAGAAAGCCATTTATGAGTGCTCTTGCGTCGGTGTGGTTACCTGGGCGTCCGGCTGACCTGGTCCTGGCTTGGCCAATTTTGGCTGGGCTCACCTGTGTGTTGCCGTCAGCAGGTGGCTGGACGTCTGGGGTGGCCTCACTCACATTGGTGGCTGCTGGCTGGCTGGGGTGATGGGGATGGTGGAGGTCTGTGTTTCTCATCATCCACTAGGTTAGCCCAAGCTTGTCACCATCACGGCTGTAGGATGCAAGAGCAAGAGTAGGCGCATACAAAATTTTTTGAGGCTCTGGCTTGGAGCTTGGACAAAGGCAATTCTGCTGCATTCTCTTGGCCAAAGCAAGTCCCTGGGCCAGCCCAGGTTCAAGAATGGAGCAAAACCCCTACCTTTTGATGGGAAGAGCCACAAAGAACTATGGCCATTTTTGCAATCTACTAGACAGGAGGTGAATTCAGGCTCCTTTTGTTACACTCCAGGCTTGGTCTTCATCTATATTTTACAATTTGTAAAATGTCCCAGACAGTCAAATTTTATTTTCAAACAGTACCATGAAATGGGCAAGAAAGGTACTGTTAGCTTCATTTCCACATGAAGAAGCCGAAATTAGAGGCCCAGGGTGGTCAGCCAGGATCACGCAGCTCCAGTGCCTGGACTGTCCTGCCTGGCTCCCGGAGCTGAGTGCACGCTGACTGGCCTCATGGGCTCTCCTTGACAAGAGCTACGGTGAACCTCAGTCCACACGCTCCAGTGATGGATGGTGGGGGGGATTGTGCGGTCCCTCACACCTGTCCTTCGTCCTGGCTTTAGGCTGTCTGATGCCATGGCTGCCAGATATGTGCCCAGGGGAACTTGTTCCCACCGTGTAAGGTTGACAGAGTGGTCAGCTGTGGTTGATGCTCGCTAAGGTCTGCGACAGTCAGGGGACTCTGACTTGTAGGGAACTTCTCGGGGTAGAAGACTTTCCTTTAATGGGGTTTTTCAGATGGACTTGCTAACTGCTTTCAGGTTGGCAAAGTGACACCCTCCCTTCAACTTTACAAGTCTCTAAACTCACAGAACCAGAGAGGCTCCTGACCCCGTGTACACAGCTGACTTGTGAGGCGTTGAGTGTGATGTGATTGCCTATCAATGAGTTGAATCTGGGAGTCCCATTCTCACTGGGACACAGAGCAATGTATAAGGAAGAATCCTGGTAAAAGGCCAGATACTGGGGTTTCCAGTGTCTGCGGGCTGTGCCCTTTGCCTCACTAGTGCCGACAGGGAGATAGCATGTGATGGATTTCTCTCCTGACTTCTGAAATCATCCCAGTTTTAGTCTTGAAAACCCTCTGTTGCAGCATTTTAGACCCAGGGCAACATTTTGGAAAACCACTCCTGATTCTGAGATGTATTTCTCCTTCCCTTCCTCCCTGCCTTTTTCTTCAGGTGCTTGTTGAGCCCTTTATGAGGGATGGAACTCAGGCGCCTGCAGCCAGAGCTGCTCCTCTGCAGGCCCTGCATTCCCATGCCTCCTGGCAGCCCCCGTGAAAAACGAGCTTCCTCACTAGTGCTTCAAACAGAAGTAAAAGGCCGTGTGATGTGGCTCCAGAGCTGGTGGACTTCGTGTGTGCCAGCTGTCACATTGTCGTTCTTGAGACTGTTGGTCTCTGAGGCTCAGTCACTTGCCAGGCTTTTCATGTTCCCCTTAAATACTTTCAAACCACAGAGGAATAGTTCCTTGTATTTACTTATATTCAGAGTCCTGTCACTGATCTCATTCTGGAAGAGACATCAGGTAGATATTATCCCCATTTTACAGAAAAGGAAACTGAGACATTATATGATAAGCTAGTTGCCAGGTAGGGGCTATAAATCAAGTCTCCTTGCTTTTAAGTCAAGAGCTTGATGGTGCTTTGTGACACATTGAAAGGCCAGTACTGTGACGATAGGACAGAACCACTTTAAGGATTTCCCCCTAGTCCTCAGTCTCTCTCCCTGGGTGCTCTCCTGCCTTCCTTCGAGAAGACAATTTTGATTCTTGGCTTCAAGCTGGGAAAATGAGCCTTAGTGATGACACTTTTAAAATTCAGGGATAAAGCTAGATAAATGAGCCACAAATACCCTTCTTGGGGGAGAAGAGAAGGAATGAATTTAAAAGAAAAAGATGGAGATGAGGAATATGAACCAGTTCCAAGAAGATCAGGTGTAGGGAAGACCTGATGTTGGTCATTCCTTCCCTCCTTCATTCGGCACATGTTTATTGGCTTCTACTATGAATAAGGAAGTGTGTTAGGGGTCATGAGAGACATTATCAGATAGGGGCTTAGCTCTCAGAAATCTCGAAGTCTACTAGAGGAGTAAAACCCCCAAATAAAGAACGACGCAAGGCTAACGGGCAATGCAGGCCTTAGTTGGTAAATAAAATGGGGTGGGAGGCTAGAACAGGGAATTACTTCTAGGGGCAGGAAACAGGAAGTGCTTTGTAAAGTCAATAGCAACTGAATTGATGATGATGTGATGGCTGATACTTATCAAGAGGTCCCTATGTACGTTATACCTATTGACTCATTTAATCCTTACAGTGACTCTATGAGCTTTTGACAGATGAAGACATTAGAGTGCAGAGAGGTAAAGCAACTTGCCCGATGTCACTCAGCCAGTAAGTGACAGAGTCTGTCCTCTTAACCACTGTACTGGTGCCTCTTCAGGCTGGTAAGATTTAGGTGTGCAGATATAGGGATGGGAATTCCAGGTGGGGGAACCAGCATAAACAATGCAGGTCTTAGTCTGGGCCTAGTGCCCAGGAGTGTCCCATTTCCCCCTGGTATCCAGGCCAGGTTCCTTTGAGAGCTTCGCTGGGCCCTTTGGAGAGCTGCCGTGTAGAGGACCAGGGTGGGGGGTGCTAAGGGGTGGTCTCCAAGGATGGCCGTGTACTTTAGTGATGTCAACACTTGTCCTCACTCTGCTGTCAGGACATGTTGTGAATTTCTGCTGAAAGGTAGCAGCAGACAGAGTCTCAACAGCTTCTTCAGTTCTTTATGGCACGAACTGTGATAAGCTTTAATCTAAAAAGATATTTAAAGCAGTCAAGTGGAGAATTTTTTTTTTTAACACTAAAGACTATAGTAATGAGATGTGGAAAGAACTATAAATGTCAAGAATTTTTAGTACTGTAGTTAAGCAACACTCTGAGAAGGGTGTTGAAAAATGGGACTGAATTCTAAAAAGCAGCCAAAATAATGAAGAGCTTGAATATAATGATTTATAAGGAGTAATGAGACAGTTTGAGAAGGGGACAGAGGAAGGCATAAATAATTCCTATATGAAGGCTGGAGATGTTCAGGAATTAAATAGTTGGGAAAGTTGAACCATTTTAATTAGTAAAGCTGATTTGATATCAAAATGCAAGTCACTTGAATATGTTCAAGTTTGGGCTCATATCGTCTTAGACCTGTGTTACTGGGACTGAGAGCAGAACCCCTGGAACCTTCCTGAAATGGATGCTTCCAAGCCACTTGCTGCCATTAGGTGCCCACAGTTGCGGGAAGTTCCAAGTCTGGTCTTACCAGCACCCATTTCCTCTCCATTATTTCCAGCCTTTAAAAGGCTTCTTCCTTTCTCGTCTCCACAAAAGGCTGGAGGTCCCGGCCAGAAGGAGCTGGGGGTCACCAGGGAGCCCCAGAGGTGGGAGCACGAGCTGCAGAGAGTGGCTTGTTTCACCCAACAAGCCTCCTGCAGCTTTGCTGTGTGATCAGGGCTTAAGTGGCAAAGGTAGGATGGTCACCCCAACACCGGGTGGCTGGGAGAGCAGGGGGAGGCTCTGGATATCCCTAAATAACCATCGTGGTGAGCTGGGCGGTTGATACAGTGGCAGGAGATGCCTTTTTCATTTTTCCCCCTGCCATGTTCTGGGCGTGGAGGTTCTTGATAAACCCATATTCTTGCACAATATCTGCTCGAAGTTCCTTATACAGGATTTGGGATAAAACTCTCATATCACACGCCCTATGCTGGAGGTTATCTGTTGGGCAGATATGGGTACCAAGGAGTGGAATAAGGTGTGTGCTCAAGCGCAGTGTCCTCAGACTTCGGTTATAGGAACTGAACCCATGACTAGACACTCTCCACCAGCCCTCTCCCCTCAAACACACACACTGCACTTATGAGGGTGGACGTAAAGGGCTATGGAGGGTCACCACGACAGTCTTCTTTCTGGTTTCAGATCCCATTCAGGATGCTTCCAGGACAGGAGGTGGCAAGAACCTTTTGGATGGTCCCCCAAGAGTGTTTCAGCCCTTCCTGACGAACAGAGCCAAGGTGGCCGGGGTACCCCCAAGTCTTCCCCTGCCAGTGAGGAACACCATGCTGGCCGCTGCCCTCTTCCCAGAGTTCCTGAAGGAACTGGCTGCCTTGGCCCAGGAACACTCCATTCTGTGCTACAAGATCCTGGGTGACTTTGAGGACTCCTATTGTTAGCTTTTTTTTTTTTTCAAATAGAGGTTCTTGTTTTTTAAGGTTTTAGTGTCTTGACTGAATGTTAAATGCAAAGCTGCTTACAAAAATTTCTACTTTGATATTTCCTGACAATACTTGATTTGTCGGAGGGGATTTTCCGTGTACCTCCTCTCTCTCTAGCCGGGTCTTTCCACCTTACGTTGCATAGAATGTAAGTCTCGGTTGCTCCTTTGGCAGGTTTCTTTGCTCAGTTTTTCCTCCTCAGATTTTTTGGTTGTTGTTCTCCCATCCCTTCGAGTCACTCATCTTTCAGCTTAGATCACACCAAGCGAATACTGGGGTTCATTGATTTCTGGAAGTACCCATGGCCGAAGGCTGGCTCTTCAACAGCACATGAAGAATGCACATCTGCCCCTGTGGCCTTCTGTGTTTCCGCTTCCATTTTATCAAAGGGAAGAATAAAGATGGAGCCCTTCTTGCCTCCATCACACGAGCACGTATTGTATGTCCTTTGCATTTTACTTCCAAGACTTGTATTCTGCCCAACATGTATTGCCTTATGGTGCAGGCAAGTCCATTCGCCTCACCGTCTGCCTGGGAGAGAACTTGGGATGCAGGGAAATGTTCTTGTTGCTTGAGAGCTTTCTTTGATCAGTATAGCACTACCTAAACACTGAAAATAGCCTTATTTTAGTAATATTTGCACAAAATGAAATATACCTATGCAAACTGTAACTTTATTTTTGGGAGTTTGATCAGATGAAGAAAGCATGGTATCACATACTTATGTAAGAAGACAACCATCTTTTTTTTTAAGTGTTTTATGAAAAACAGATTAATTTGTGAAGCTCTTTCATAGTGGGCTCTTTTGGGGGGCATGAATGGAATGGGGGAAAAGGATAAAGGTAAACTAAATGCAACCTGTAAAAACATTGGTAATTATTTTAAATTATGTTTGCTTTTTCTAATATATTGCACTTTGTAGAGAAACAGGAACCGTGCAGCCACTTTGGGAGCTGGGATGTAAATGCGAACAGGTTGCAGGGAGCCCCTCGAAGCCAGGTGCCTGCTGGTGGCTCACTGCACACAGAAATGCAGCCTTCTGAGTAATGGGGTTCATTAGGAGGCCCCAACGTGATGTATTAGTGCCTCTCTGCTGCTTTCCAGCCCGCTCCAAGAGGCATAATTATACTTAGAGCCAAAGTCTCCTTCGAACATCACCAAGATGAGGAAACATACAAAATAACTGTGGGCTACAAATGAGACCATAAACAACTGATATTTATGGATATTCAGTCCCCTCTATTTTTGGCAGGTGAGAAGCATGTAACAAGGATAAGCCTCCCAGTTTGGAGGGAAACTGGAAGCCCAGCTCTCTCTGTTCTCTTTGTGGGCATCTCTGCTAAGCCCTGCATCTGGGGGTTGTGCTTCAGGAGTACTGGTTTGGTTTTAATCAGGTCCCTCCTACAGGAGGGGAGTGGAAGAAAGTATCGTGTCTGAGACTCTGCAGAGCAGAAGCTGCCCTTTCATGTTTCAGGGATCTTGAAGCAGCTTTGTATTGAGAAAGAGAGAGAGCTGGCCCGTGGACTGAAGACCCCAGGAGCTCTGGCCTGGGCTGGGTGGCTCCTAGGAGCCAGCCTGGCAGTGTTTCCGAGTCTAAGCCAGAAACCAAAGATACTGATTCATTGTACATTTCTGACTTCAAATTTGTCTGTCTTGAAAAATGGTTTGCCCAACTGTCGTGCAGCAGCCAGAATGTACGAGGCCCAGCAGACTGGCCTGCTCTTGGCTTCCTGATGCCTACTTCTATTTGCACAACCCACAAGTCTCCACTGGAAAAGAAGGTGGCTGAAGGTAGAGAAAGACGAAGAGAAAGATGGAATTAAAGCTGTAATTTATTATCCTCTAACTTTGTTTTGCACAAGTATTTATCTTCCAGTTTGGACTTACCCGGTAGACAAAATGCTAAAGTCACATCTGGAAACTGTATTCTTTAGGTTTTTGTTTGATTTACACTTCACTCCATTATCTGGTGGTGGTGTCGATTCTTCTTCTTGAGTCCATACTGCTTTATTATAGAGCACCATAGTCCCCATCGTGGAAGGTGCCCTTTGGGAAAGGAGATTGATTTGGTGCCTCTTAGTATTTTTTTCTAAATAGGTACTGAAGTAGACTTACTTTAAAGGAGGACAGAGATGACCAGAGTCTGGGATGAGAGGCAGGAAAATTAACTCCCCTGGTGGGGTGCTGGTAGCAAACGCACATGATAACCCTCTCGATTTGGAATTGGAAACTGGTTCATGTTTCTGAATCCACTGCAGCCCTCCTCCAGAGAACTGTGTATGGGGTTTTTCAAAATGAAGTCAGAAAGTTGACCTGGAAACACATTATAGAGAACTGGAAAAACCAGGCGGTTGAGTGAAACAGCCAGATGGGCTAGGGAAGGGTCGTTCAGGGAATGGCATGGACACGCCAGAGGAAAAACAGCAAAAACTTGAGACGATAAAGAGAAGAGCAAATCCTGAGGGGTTTGGAGGAATGAACATTGATCTAGGAAGATAGGAAGATATTTACAGCAGGTGGGTGACGAAGGGAACTCGGTGGGAAAAAATCATGGTAATGAAGTAGAATATTCCAGTCACAAAATCATGGGTGAGGCCCTTAGAAATATCTTTTTTGTAATGAGTTTGGGGAAAAAATTTGAAAAATATTGGCCATGCTTTAAAATGTGGTCCAAGAGTGTGGACACTTTTCTATGTGATAGGCTCCCACGTCAGATGCTGGGCTACTTGTTGGAGGACACAGTGGACACAAACCCTATGGTGCAGCCCCCGAGGCTGCATCACTGTGTCTAGCCTAATGGTCCCAGCAGTGAAGGTGAGTCAGGGGTTCCTGGAACATCACAACATTAACCTGCATTCATAATTCGGGGTCTGAGGTAAAGTTCCAGAGGGAGTGAATTTTGTGGTTCAGAGTATATGAGAGCACTGGGATATTTAAAATTGATTTTTGGAAATGGCCAAGTAAATGTCTTTAAAATTTTAAACAAAGAAATTCCAGGTTGAGTTTAGCCTAAAATACCATTTCATGGGGTAAATTACAATTTCCCAGCCATGAAATGGGGATGCTGGAGTAACCAATTAGAGATGTGATTTTCTTTATCAATAGATACTTCCTTTCCCTGGTATTTGGAGGAATTATGAAATTGTCCCCATTTTACTTAGTATTATTTGGGAAAACACTGTGATGTGCTAGGGTTGGAATTGATGTCTGTGTCACATGTAGGGAGGACACATTTGGTTCTTTCACGGGCCCTCAAGATGACCTTTTCTGGGGCAGGCCCCATGGCATAGTGGTTAAGTTCGTGCACTCTGCTTCAGCTGCCCAGGATTGTGGGTTTGGATCCTGGGCACAGACCTACACCACTTGTCAGCCATGCTGTGGTGGTGACCTGCATACAAAGTAGAGGAAGATTGGCACAGATCTTAGCTCAGGGCGAGTCTTCCTCAACAACAACCACAACAAGATTACCTTTTCCTTAGCAAGTGGCTTTTATTTAGATCAGATGTAGTTGTTGATTTTCAATCCAAAAGACATCATAGGGGCAGGGTGTTGTCAAGAGAGCATCCTCTTATGAATAGAATCTAGAAACAGGGTACGTGAGTGAGTGAGTGGCCTGTTCAATTTGGGCAGCCAGTGGTACTCAGGATTGAAAGTTGTTTTTGGTGTCTCTAAATCAGCTTGGTTGCAGTGGGCGTGTGGGTTGATTTCCAGATCTGTTTAGAGCTTTGGGGTTGTGGATGGGCTGCCCATTCTGAATCTGGATCTGTGTGTCTAGGTTGCTTCCATGAGGGAAGTAGTGCCCCAGCAGGGGTGGGACATGTCATTGGTATGATGTTGAATGTCTGCAGCATATGCTCCAGTTCTCATTTAAGGGCAATTCAATTTAATTGCTAATTACCAGCCCTGTATTTACGGAAATGGCTGTCATGCTTGCCATTTTTATGAAACACTTTATTGCAGGACAGCTATTATTGCACGTGCTACTTCAAGTCACTGGCCAGTGTAATTTGTGGCTTGCTGCGAACCTCAGCCAGCTTTGCAGTTAGCTCTTCCTGGAAACAGCAGTCCTCTGGTGGCTGAGACCACATCAGCTTTAAGTCATTAAGAAGATATTCTCAGGCCCCTTCTTGCTTCAGCCGTCAGTCTACAAATCACACAACACTAATTCTCCATCAAATAACAGCTTAAAACAGAAAACTGTCAAGCCAGTTTATACTCCATTCTTAAATCACATCAATGAGGAAACATTTTAAGAAAATGGAGTTGACTCTCTTTCTTTCTTTTTGAATGACCGTCATAAACCTAATGCTTTAGAAAGAGCTCTTGGAAGACTAAGAATTGTTTTCAGGATAATTTTGCCTCAGTAAATCCTCTCTATATTCAGGCATTTATTAGGCCATTACTTGTTTTGGAGGACAGGTTATCCTGGTAGCTCATTAGCTGGATAAACAGGGCTTTAGTGAGACTTTTGGTGAGGTTCTGTAGGGAAAAGAACAGAGACAGGGTGGGCGGAAGCCTTCACTTCTTTGGCCTCTGCACTTAGAATCCTAAAATGGGTGATGATTTTTAGCTAGGACTGACCCTATCCCGTTGGGTCATTGTGCATTTTGTTCCTGTCTTACAACATGTGAGTAAACCTAACTCACCGTCACGCACACAAGTAAGAGGACTGCCAGTGGGTTCTGTCAGCATGAGTTTCATGTATTTCAGGCATCTCTTGGGGGAGCTCAGATTTACTGTGTCATTTCAGAACCTGACAAGGGTGATGGGAGCTCTTGGGCCAGATTATAAATTTCATGGAGCTGAGGCTGTAGAAGTCTGTGCCTTTTAGCCTGTCAGCTGACTTTTTATTGGCATAAGTCTACAAAAGGCCCACCTATAATGAACCCCTTTTGCCCTGGAGACATTTTAAGAGAGATTTTGGTGATGAGGATCCTATGTAAATGATTTTTTGCTAAGTAGTTTGACTAAGGGAGGCAACGAGAGAGGATTTCAGTCAGATGCTTTCCATCTCACAATCGAGGGCCAGCTCTGTTCACAAATAATCCAAGAATGTATTTGTCTAAAATCTGCTGAGGAAGCATGGCAGCCATTTCTACACTGCTTTTGGTAGTGGGTAAATAACGTGGCCTTTCAGATAGATTTAGTGGTTTTTTTCAAATAGTCACTATGTAGAATCCTTGAAGTGATGCAGCCAATTCAATAGAAATGAAAAATACAATATAAATTGTGGGTCATGGCCATAAGCTATATATTGAATTAACCAACTAACCCAAAGCTCTAGGAGGGTGTGTACTTTGAAAAATTTCAGTCTTCTTCCAGATTAGCAGTGATTACAAAAAAGAAGTGTGTGTGTGTGTGTGTGTGGGGGGGGGGAATAGCTAAAACATCCTTAACTTGGTGTAAATTATGATCTAAGTTCTTTTTCCTGGGCTATCTACACCTTGAAAGATACGAACAGAAGTTCACCTTGAAGCTTAAGCCTGGACAGTCAAGAAGCTCATTCCTAGACTCAGAAATCCAGAATTTATGAGCCTAGTAGTTGACAGCACCAGCATTTCATACAAAAGGGCTCCACAAAAGGCTGTCTGTTAATTTTGTTTTATAAATTTAATGAACTTTTACTAAATACTTATTCTGTGCCAGGTAGCATGCTGCGTGCTGAGGCTGACATTCCTACCCTCCCACCTCAACCAACCAACCGACCTCCTTCTCAAGCAACAGAACACATGGTTTGGGCCTAACAGGCAGAGCTGGTTCAGGCCAACCTGAGGGAGAGCCAGTCTTCCAGCACATTCTCCTCCCAGCCTACAGGTGTATGGGCTCCAATGACATGTCAGTGGCTTCACCTATAGCACCAACTCATACATTTTAATGAGATTTCCACCTGAAAAGCAAATAAAGAACTGGACTAAATTCACACTCATGCAAACATGTATTTAAAACTATATTTCACTAAGGCCCGTTTATGAGCAGAGCCATACCTGAATTTCTTAGGCTGTTATGTAAACCTATCTTTCAAGTATCTAGTCAGGTTCCAAGTAAAATATCTGAGCTGTGCTTTGATTTTTTTTTTTTTTTTTCCTATTAGCAGTTATAACAACATAACAGTCCAATTTTCAGGATTTCAGAAGTGGACATTCAAGGCCACAGGCAATTGTTAAAGCTGAACAACAATTAGCATTGTAAGGATCAAGTGTTAATGATGGCATTTTTCTCTGGAAATGATCAGTCTGTAACAGTTTACACTTGACACAGTATTGGTAAACTCTCTTCATTTGGCTGCCACCCCACCACCTCCCCCCAATAAGCCTTTGATTTAAAATGGTCTGGAAAGATCCTCCAGTGCGTTCTGTAAAGTTTGATGACCAAGCCAGACCTTGGGTGAAAATAGTTTGTAAAACAAAATTGAACCTTATTATTTCTTACAAAGTAATGATCCCGCCAGATTCCAATCTTAAACTGCCTCTGACCGTTGGTAATTCAGAGACTTGTGGAGTGAGGGGAACTGACTCTGCTGCCTTTCTCTCTCGAAAAGAGGTTAAAGGAAACTATTTTAGGCCCAGTAGTTTTCAGGGTTGCAACAGAATGTGTGAGGGGCACACGGCTTCCTGGGTAATGTCATATTTTCTTACAAGTCTAAGTCACCAATTTTAAAAAAAGTTAAAACTTTTTTTAAACGCTACCTCTTCATGCGTGTCTAAAATAAACCACACAACTGGTTTCCTTTCTGTCCCTGCTTTTTTGGTTGGTAAGAGGGACACTTCTGAACTCATTACTCCTAGTTAGAGAAGTCCTGAGCATTATCTGCAACCCAGGAACCATTAATGGCTAGGCTGATGATGGGGAAGGTCCAGTTTTCTCCGGTTCCCCAGCCGCCACTGGAGCACCGTTCATGACGGAAATGCCTGTACTCTTCTCAGTAGGCTCGAGAATTCAGTGTACAATCAGGGCCTCCAAAGATTTTGTTCTTTTACTTATGTTACAGTTTATTTGACATGTGCTTTCAAAAAACAGCATTTGCAAAACTGGTCTTTGAGCCTTGTGAGTCAGAGGTAACAGAGGCATAACATGAGCAAGGGGCGCCCCAGGGCGCTACCGAGACATAGTATTATTGTCATGAGACCAATGACATGGTCATTGTCATGTGAAGGCAACTCAGCTTTCATGGAGATACTGTCAACCGCACCACAATTACTGTTCAAGGTCAAGATTTTGATTTCCTAGTGTATAATCTTATTCTTTACAGGCGAAACAAATCAATTTAATATTATAGCTTTTTTTTCTTTTTATCTTTTTTGGCCTGAGGGTAAGGGGTATTGTCAACTGCACAATCTTTGATGTGTAAGTTAATTTTTTATGTGATATTTCAGTATATATTTTATTCATTAAATTTATTTGAAAACTTCCGTTGTCTTTTTTACAAAAAAAAAAAATCATTCTCCAATTTCTGCCTTCTGGGCTCCCTAGGGAGGTGAATGGGCACCACCGCTTTCACTCAGTGGATGGGTGAATGACTACCAATCCCTCACCCCCAAAAGCCCCCCTACACAAATGTGTGTTTATGCTGTGTCAATTAATTTATTCTGTTGTGTTTTCATCTTCATTAACCTATTTTTAGGTCTAAAATACTGCATCCGGATCAAGGTCTCTCTTGATCACTGTTAATCCTCAGCACCTAGAACAATGCCCAGCCCTTAGGACGTGCTCAGAAATATTTGTTGAAGGAACTGCAGAATGACGTTTTCTTAGAATGGTAACAGTAGGTTTCATTTCGTTCAGAATTACTAAGCACTAGAATGTGCTATCTCTTAACCACTGCTGCAGCTATCACGGAACCATTCTGATGTCAATGAAGCAAACGGGTGAGGCTGCTGGTCTTCTGTGGAGGTGGCTCTCACAGGTCAGGTGTGGCCATCTGGCTCTGGCTTGGGCCAGGGACTGGGAGACGCAGCGCATGGAGCACACAGCGTCAGCGTTTCACAGGCTTGGTTCCTGGTCACGGCTGCACTGTTCTCCCTCGGGCAGAGGGACCCGAAACATCTCCGGGTGACAGCTTCTTCTCCAGGATCTCCTTTATCACAGTCGGATCCGCTCGGCTGAGAGTCGCTTTTCGGACCAACCCAATCAGTTTATTTATAGCTCTGGGGTTTCCCTTCTTCACATCCGTTACCTTTAAAGAGAGAATTTGTTTTAGAGGAGAAAATAAAGAGACTTATACCTAAAAATCCTAAATTAAGGTTTATGTTTACTGAAACTTAAATTCAGTTTTTTTTCCTGTTAGATATAAAATGAGTTTATAAAGGAAAAAGGGGAGGGGGGGGTGCACTGCAGAGGTTTCCAGGCTCCTGTCAAAGGCGATGTTTGCTCCTCTGCCTTTTGATTAAAATGGATGAGAGGAGGGCTGTAAGGTATTAGGAGGGATTGCCCTCAGCTAGAGGAGCTGGTGCGAGGGCATGAGGGCGCTCTCCTCCTGGGCGCCAAGGTGACACGAGGACGTGGAGCTTCTCAGAGCCTTGTGAGTGACTCTCCGAGATGAATGGTCTAGTCTAACCAGTGCGGTACCGCTCTAATCCTCTGGTGCTATTCGCCAGGCACCGAAATGCATGGCTTTCCTTCTCCCCGCCACTCCCTGCCAAGAAGATCCGTTTATCAGAAAACAAATCCACAAAATGGCAACTCTCCCAGAGCATGTGGGTGGGGGGAGTGCACTGTGGTGGGCAGGAGGGAGGCGCTGAATTCCTATCAAATAGCCGCTGATGCCAGGGCCACCCGCTCCAACCTCCTGCTCTGCAGCATCTTGATCGGCAGCACTTTCTGTGAGTATCTGCACTCAGGGCGGCAGAAGGAGCCAGGAACTAAGAGTGTGTCTTTATCAGTCACTGCAGATGAGGCCAGAGGATGGTGATTGCCCAGACCCAGCGCGAGCTGATTTTCCTTATCACGAGCTCTCTACAGAGCTGTTACCATCCCCGGCAAACTGACAGGTGAGTGGGTGGGTATTATTCTGAAAGAGCTGCTAGCAATTTTTTTCCCCACTGAAAAACATCTCTAGACAATATGATTAGACTTGAGGAGAGGGATGCTACTCATCTCAGCTTTTCTATTTGGTTCTCTGCTCAGAACACAAAATGACTTGGTTTTCTGCTTTGCTCCTGTCAAGGATTTTCTCCTGTAATTTACAAATAATTTTCCTTTCTGCCTTTCTTCCCACCTTTTGAAGGCACACGGCTCAAGTGTTTCCCTATCTTTCTTCCCGTCTGCAGTCATGCCTGCTGGGTTATTATTGAGAGGCCTCCTTATAAAGCAGAGCTGGCCACAACAGAGTCAAAATGCCAACCCGGGAGAGGACAACACGCCTTGGAGGTCAAAACTTGATCTAGTGAGCTTGACAACTCCCATTAAGCCGAAACTCTATGAGAGTCACCTCCAGGGGTGGATTTTCCTTATAGGAAAAGGTGTATTTTATCAATACTCACCTACTTCATCTCTTGACCTTAGCTAAAGACTGACAAAAATAATGGGGGCATTATTGATGAAAGTGGGCCAGCCATTAGGAAGCACCTCTGGGCTACAACAGGGAGCAGGGGAGAGGCTCTGGGCCCTGTCCTCAGGCTGGCCCTGCCCGGGCCCGGCCCTCTGCTGGCCAGGAGGGTGGACCCTCACTCCGGCTGCACAGGAAGACCCTCATCACCCTGCAGGCGATAATTACCACTTGAGGATGTCCCTCCATCACAGCGTGGCAGAGCTGTTCCAGTGCCTCTTGATCCTGCATCAGTTCAAGCTTCTTTTCTGAAACGATCTGTGCTGGAGTCTTCCCTTTGCTCCTCCACAATTCCTCAAACACCTACAGGCCAGAGGAGGGAGGAGAGAGAGAAGCGAGGAGTCAGCTCTTTTTGCCAGCTCCTTGCTGGTGCCAGGACAAGTAGTGCTGGGACAGGAAAAGCAGAGTCAATGAGTTCCCAGCTGGGGGGGGGGCCTGGCCCACAGGGTGCCTTGTCTCTCCCAAAGCAGGTGGGAATGAAGCCACTCTAGAGGGTGTGCAGACACACCCGGAGTCTCTCCACGCTGAGCTGCTCCCTCAGAACAGAGCAGGACACCGTGCCTGTGGAGACGGCAGGTCCTCCCCACTCGCTGACTCAAACCACACGGCAGGGAGATGCTAGGGGAGCTGGGAGATGATCACTCACAGGGCCCCTGCTGACAGGAGTTAGAGGGCCAGGGACAGCTCTGTCTCACGTCCACTGAATGAGTTAATGGGGGTGATGTTTTGGTGAAGGATGGGGCCGCACAGGCTGCAGAGGTAACCACTGCACTTAGATGAAGTCTAGAAAACCCGGTCTCCTGGGAAACAGGATTTTAGAGGGGCAAGAAAGTGGCCCCATAATGAAGCTACAAAATGGAAAATAACTAAAAACATAAATCATAACACACAGGGACCCCTAGCCTACCACAATTATCCCCTACAGGTGGAGCTAGACCTGAATCTGGTGAGGATAATTAACAGTTAATGGTGTATATGTTTTTCTACTTAAAAAATAACAAATCCCCAAACTTATCAAAGTTGGAAAAAAGGAAAACATTTTTAAAGAAGGCATTTCCTAGGGTAGTTGTCCTCATTCCTCGTGTTGTTCTTCTAGTGTAAGCTGGAAGGGTGGCCCCTCCCTCACGTCAGCCTGCAGTAGTAACAAGCACTGAACCCTCCCTATGACCGTTCTAGTGGAGAAGGGGCCATCCAGGAGCCCTTCCTCCCAGAAGAACAGAGCTCATCAATAATTAGCACATACACCAAAGCAAATGAAGGGGAAGATGCTCGGAGTCTCCGCAGGGCTCAGTTTTCCCCAATCTGGATCAAAACAAACCCAAACGTTTATATGGCCACGATATGCAGTGTGCCTTCAGCTCAGCTGTCAGAACACCCGCAGTGACTGTGGCCGAGAGGTGTCTTTGGTGGGTCCCCCGCAGGGCACCCCTCTGGCTCCCACCACACAGCTGCTTAGGGAAACTTGTTCCTGCTCTTAGAAAAGTACTGAACATACATGCCTCCAACGCAATCCTTCAAAGATTTACTCAGCCGAGAATGAGTAAGGCACTGAGAGAGAGGGCACGAAAGCAGATCAGAACTTCCCCTGCCCTCAACAAACTTATTAATGGAGCATTGGCAGCACAGGAACTGGACAGAACAGTCTGTAATGCGGATTATACTCAGGAGCTGCCATAAGCAAGTCTGAAGAGTTTCTCTGCCCCTTTTCCCTGATATATTTATTTTTCTTGAATTAAGACTTAAAAGATTTTAAAACAGCGTTTCTTTTTTTTTGTGAGGAAGATCAGCCCTGAGCTAACATCCGTGCTAATCCTCCTCTTTTTGCTGAGGAAGACCGGCTCTGAGCTAATATCTATTGCCACTCCTCCTCCTTTTTTCCCCCAAAGCCCCAGTAGATAGTTGTACGTCATAGTTGCACATCCTTCTAGTTGCTGTATGTGGGACGCGGCCTCAGCATGGCTGGACAAGCAGTGCGTTGGTGCGCGCCCGGGATCCGAACCCGGGCCGCCAGTAGCAGAGCGCGCGCACTTAACCGCTAAGCCACGGGGCCAGCCCCTAAAACAGTGTTTCTAATTATAAAAGTTAATACATGTTCATGGTAGAAAATAAGGAGAGATGAAAAAATCAGAAGTCACCTGTATTCCCACTCCCTCAAGACAACCATTAGTATTTAGTGTTAGCATTTGGGTGTTTTACTTCCCATCTTTTTCTTTCTGTTCTGTAACAGAGTTGTGATCATAACGTATATACAACTTGTGGCCTGCTTTTGTTTCACTTATTACAGAAGTACTTTCTCATATTAATTAAAAAACCCTAATACCCATCAGCTGTATTTATCGTAATTTAATTTATCCCCTTCCAGTGGGTACTTAGACTCTGACCAGTGTTTATTTTGTTCATGTGCACAGTCTCCTACCAAAGTTCCTAGTTGACAATGTCCAACATTCAGGAAGAGGGAGTGGAGATCTCAAGAGATCCAGATCTTTGGCTCAAAACAGCAATCACCTGCAAGGACTTGCTTATAAGGAATCTATGCAGCAGCTCTTTACAGGAAAACGAGGCGCGAAGCTCAGCAGACATGGACGCTCCTTGCAGCCCCAGCCTGGCAGCAGGCCCACCTGGCAGTCACGGGGTGGGGGTGGTGGGCACTCCCGGACCCACGTCATTTCTCGGGCAGCTACTGTAGCTGCGGCTGAAAGCATAGAGCAGATCTGAGCAGGCCAACTAGGAGGTCAGCCTTGCCTGGCACCTAATACAGCTGGGACCCCACAGTCTCAACCTCTGGGTGGATTTGCCTGAGCCAAAATAACCAGAATACAGGCGATGTGAGGCAGCTCAGGGATGGCTGCCAAACCACACCACTGGGAAGGAAAAGCAGGACAATGCTAGGAAGGATGCTTTGAAATGCAGAGAGGCTGGCTGCTCCCTGAGAAAGTGAGGCAGGTGGGAGTACAAAGGAGTGACACTAGAGAAGCATATTTCAGTGGCCTCCAGGAACAAATGGGAGCCCGGTGGCTGGAGTGTTCTTGACTCCTGGAGTTAGAACACATCAGCTGATTAACTTCCCAAATTAGTCAAGTGGCCACTGCAGACCTGCCCCAGCCCCAGCCCCGGCCCCCTGGATTGACACAGTAGACTCCAGTTGTCCAACCCCCTGCTCATGCCTATTTAAGACAGATTGCGCACTCCTGGCTGGAGCCCAGCAGGGTGAGAGCCACTGAAGGGGGCCGGCCTGCCTCCAGGCCAGACTCTGCAGGGCTCCCCGGCCCTCTTACCGCAAACATAACGGCCTCTGTGGTTGCCAGCCTTGTGCTGCAGCCTAAATCCTCAGCTTTTGTCTGTGTTTAATCACCACCCTGGGAAGTGCTATCGAAGTGCAATTGTTTCTGGCCAGGCATGCAGCTCCCAGGCCCTGCTGCTGCCCACCCAAGACAAACATACATAACAATGGATCCCTAGTGCAGTGCTGGTCATGTGTGTCAATAAGTGGCCACCAAAAGTATGGAGCAATGCAAGCGGGGAACCCCCAGTCACGCACCGACCACCGCAGCCAGCTCTGACGCATGGGGCAGGAACTCAGCCTTCAGTTCCCTGGGGACTGAATTTGCACACCCTCTTCACTACTACCCAACTGTTTCTCTAGCTAAAGCTATTTTTTAAGTATCTGAAAGGAAGAAGGATGGAAAGAAAGCAGGCAGAACCTTCGCCTGTCCCTGCCTGTCCTTGGGCTTCCCGGGTCAGCATGTGGAGGAAAGAGCCGTTCAGGGGAGTGGGCAGGGAGGGAGCTGGGACAGTTACAGAGAGGGGAGTCCCCTCTGGTCAAAGGCCAGTATTGTGAGAGGTCATTCTTCTAGAAAGGCACAACCATCAACCCAAGCCCCTAAGAGAAGCAGGGCACAGTGAAATGTGCAAAGAACTGAAACACTAAAAGGGAGAAAAAGACATCATTTGTAACAGTTTTACTGCACAACATATATTTTCTATATTAAAAGGTTTTGGATGGGGCCGGCCCAGTGGCGCAAGCGGTTAAGTGCGCGCGCTCTGCTACAGCGGCCCAGGGTTCACCGGTTTGGATCCTGGGCGCGCACCGATGCACCGCTTGTTAAGCCATGCTGTGGCGGCGTCCCATAGAAAGTAGAGGAAGATGGGCACAGATATTAGCTCAGGGCCAGTCTTCCTCAGCAAAAAAGAGGAGGATTGGCATCGGATGTTAGCTCAGGGCTGGTCTTCCTCACAAAAAAAAAAAAAAAAAAAGTTTTTGGTGATTTCTGTTTACAACAGACCACAAAGTAGACAAGAGGAAACTGCTTAAATGGCACACTTGCATGTTAAAATTTGATATCCATCTCTATGGAATCCCAATTCGGCCTGGTCCCAGTGGAGACACTGGACAATCCTTGAGAGATAGCGGATCATCCACATCTATTTCAGGTTTGCACAAAGGAGACACACACATCCTGCACGATTTCCGTTGTGGCCATGGCTGGCCAGCAGTCTGGACAACACCCAGGGTCTCTGAGTCTCAAGAGGATTGGGATCCTGGGATGCTGGCTGCAGGTGAGCTGTGACTACGCTGGCTGGGAGTCTGGTGGGCCCTGTCCTTGGCGAGGGGAGGAGACGGGGGCTGCACCCACTACTTTAGTAGATAGAACTGGATCCTGTGGGAGGAACCCAGATGCTTTTGTCTACAGTCACCAGCAGGTTGCTCCTGATGATAAATAATCTTTGAGTTTCTCTTTCCATTTCTAAAAAACACGGCTGCTTCGTGGCAGCAACCTCTTAACTCCCCTGGCCCCTGCCATGCTGAAGGGATGAGGTTTGTACATCTCAGAAGCACTCCTGGAACACCTGGAGGAAGGTGCAGTGAAATGTGTAAAGGATGAAAATAATGGGCAATGATGTAAAGGAGAGACAGGTGGAGAGAGACGGATTAATAATATATCAGACAAAATGGGAGATTCTTTAGAATTCAGAATGTTCTCAGGACAAGATGACTCTTTCTGCATATCTGTCATCCTGAGGAGTCAGTTACTCGGTCAACTTTCTTCCTCATCTCCTGGTCATCTAATCACTAATGGAACCTCTTCCACTTCTGTCAGAGGAAACACGAACGACTAGTGGAACCAGAGAGTCTTTCTGCTCTGCTTGAGCACCCTCTGGCTCACAGGGTTTCTAAAACCCAAGGCCGACTTGGATTCTTCTGTTAAACTCAGAAAAAAATAACTGTAACACATTTACTTTGTTAAAAAAGTACACTTTAAAAACAAGACACAGAAAATGCTCAGTGTAATTAGTCATTAGGGAAATGCAAATCAAAGCCACAGTGAGATATCACTCTACACCTATTAGGATGTCTGTCATCAAAAAGACGGATAAGAAAAAGTGCTGGCGAGGATGTGGGGAAATTGGGAGCTTCGTATGTTGCCGATGGGAATGTAAGATGGTGCGGCCTGTTTGGAACACAGTTCAGCAGTCCCCCAAAATGTTAAACATACAATTACTGCATGATCCAGATATTCCATTCCTATAGGTATATACCCAAGAAATTTGAAAACATGCTCACTCAAACAAAAACTTGTACACAAATGTTCAAAGCAGCATTATTCATAATAGCTCAAAACTAGAAACAACTCAAACGTCCACTTAAGAATGGATAAACAAAATGTAGTATATACATAACAATGGAATATTCTTCAGCCGTAAAAAGGAATGAAGCACTGACACATGCTACAACACAGATAGCCTTTGAAGACATCATGTTAAGTGAAAGAAGCGACACACAAAAGGCCACATACTGCATGATTCCCTTTACATTAAATATCCAGAACAGGCAAATCCACAGACACAGAAAGTAGATTAGTGGTTGCCTAGGGTGAGGAATTAATGGAGAGTGACTGCTAATGAGTGTGGCGTTTGTTTTCTGGGGTGACAAAAATGTTCTGGAATTAGATAGTGGTGATGGTTGTGCAACTTTGTGAATATACTAAACATGAACTGTATATTTCATAAAAAAAATAAACTAAAAATGTACTATAACCTCGTCAATCCATCCTTTTAATGGTATATACACATGGAAAGATGCCTGCAATGATGTTCACCCAATATCAATTGTAGTTATTTCAAGGTGGCAGAATTAGAAAATCTTTACATTTTTCTGCATTACTTAAATTCTTTATAATGAACAAATATTTTTTTTTTACCAGAAAATCAGTAGGTGATTTTCTTGAAAACAGAAAACAAAGTAGGAAAAAAAGCAACCTCCCAAGGCAGTGATATATAAGGGAGATTCTCTTACACAGCACACATTTAACACCTTTCTAATTAGACTTATTTTAATTTGACTGCCTCACAGAAGCCAGGATTCACCCCACCTCCTTTAAACATGCTGGAAGTTGAGAGAATCCAAAAATGTCTATCTACATCTGAACCCAGCTGTCAGCATCTTCTAGCATTTGCCATTTCTTCCCACTTGAACCTATTATATTCGCTGCACTAGATTTTTTTTTTTCCCTTTTCTTGGTGGGGCAGGATGAGTAGGAAGGGGAAGGTTTTCTTCCTCTTTCATTTCAAATGCTACAATTCATCTGCTCTTATGTATACACATATATCATTTTTTTCTGCCCTCAGGCCATCTAATCTTTCTGCTACTGCTGAGCATTGTCATAAACATTTGTATTCCTCTGACATTCAGGCAACCAAAATCCTTTCCTAAATGTGGCGAGGTCCCTGTGGCTGACAGCCTCACTTGGCAGTGGGTAAACAGAGCCTTTATTAGTTCTCGTCTCCAGTTTCAGAGCACAGAGCGGGGTATGCTGCATGGTGCCTCATAATTAGCCAAAAGCAGACGCTTTTCCAAAGCCTCACTTTGTAACCTGCCACCACTGTCAATGTGTATAAATATTAAATGCAAAAGGCACCATTAAAATAACATTAAGTTTTGGCTGAAGCATTGACTACTGCGATATCTGAAGCTGAGATCAGGCAGTTGCACTGGTGTTCTTTACCTTTCTGAGTACCTATTTGTAAAAGTTTTCTGAATTCTAGGAATCTTACACCCACCTAAGACTGTCAGGTGGAGGTGGAGATGAGGCAGGAGGCCACCTTTGATGATGATGCTATTTTTCTGAGTTTTCACACACTGGGCATGTGTGTACAATTTTATCTTCTAAGTGTGAGGCAGTCTGTCTGACCTCACCCTCCCTGCTGGGAGTCTGAATTTCAGGGGGCAACCGACAAAGACAAACGAGCCTCTGGTACTGGCTAGGAGGCTGCAGAGGACGTGAGGGGAACCCAGAGGGCTGGGGAGCAGTGCCCAGGCTGCTGTGGGCCTCGCAGGGCACAGGGGAGGTGCGTGCAGTGTGAAGCCCCCAGGAAGAAGCCCCCAGGAACTGCAGGGCCCCAGCCTTTTACATAAGCAAATGTGTGGGAAACATTCCGGGCAAAGCCAAACAATAACTATTCATCATACTGGCTTTATTTCATTTGCTAAATAAAATGTTTCTACCTTTCAGTATAAAAATAGCACCTATAATACTTCAATTATGAAATTCACTTAGTGATGGCATTTGAATTTCACATAAAACATTTATCGGGATAGCAGAGCAGCCAGAAGCTTCAGGCAGCGTCGACATACCTGTTTAGCTGCCGATGAAGAAATTGCTTTCCTGTCTAGCAGGTTGAGCAGCTCGGCCAGTGCAGAAGGTGTGACAGGACTAGCAGGCCCCAAAAGGAGAGAAAAGAAATTTACATTTCACACTGTCAGCACATCCATTTATGGTTATTCAGAATCAAAGCACTTGATTTTGTAGGTTTAAATAATTAAACCCACACCCAGGAATGAAAATAACAAGCCAATTGGACTCTATTTTACTTATTTATTTTGTACTTTAGGATATAACAAATTTTTGTGACTGGTGTTGTTTTTCTTTATTTTACCAACCAACAATAACAGCTGTTTGGCAGAAGTTGTAGCAACAGACAACTGCTCAGTTTAATTAGTCAAAAAAAGGAGGTGGCTGCAAAATTCATGAACCATGATGAGAAAAGAAAAAAAACCCCTAGTAATTAAATATTTTCGACTGAAAGATCAGCCTAAAAATTACGTCAAATGAAACAGCTAATAAAGCCACTTTTCTGAGAGTTTTCGTGGAAACATGAATTCTTTTCAAATATAAGAGTTTTTTTTTTTAAAAGAACGCAATGACTACCAACCACATCTTTATCCGTCCTCGTGGACACCTCCACAGACTCCGTTCTCTCCTGCAGGCTCAGAACAGCTTTCTGGATACAGAAGGGCCCAGAATTCATTACAGGTATACTTCTAGGATGTGAGGTATTTGCCAAGATCCCACAAAATAAAAGGCCAAGGGGCAACCAAACACGTAAAGTGTCAGGAAGTCACATTTCGGGGGAGGGTTGAGGGGTGAGCGCCTTGATTAGTGAAAGACAAGACTGAATTACACACTATTTCTTTTAAAATATATGGTTTTGCTACTTCTAAACACATACAGCAACTAGGCTAATGAAACGCTGTCTATCTGAGGTCGTTAGGGGACTCGTTTTAAATAGATAGGAATGACTTACAAATAGCACGTTAGTGAGTCTATAAATGAAAGCTTCTGAAATGCTGAATGCCACTTGAAAACACCTTTTGTTTAAGTCTCGGCTGCTATCATCCACTGTTAATTTCTTTGTAAGCTCCTAGACAATAAAAAGCCTCTTAGCCACTTAGCCTCTATGCCAATTTCCATGAATTCCAAACCAATCGAGTGCAAGTTAACCAGATATGACTTACCGTGGTCTGATTCGAGTACAGGGAAACCTCATCAGGGTTGTTCATTCAAAACGGCTGACACACTTAGGCAGCCCATCACCCTTAGAGTGTCTGTTTGTCCCAAAGTATGGATAAAGTTAATTCCAGGTAGAAATTAGGTTTCGAGAGGGTCTGGTGTTATTAAGTTGATATTCGGAACATCTTGGAACCACTCTGATTAAATCTCAACAGGATGAGGAGCAGAGGGTGGGAAATACACTGAAAGCCTTTTTCCAACCTCCTTCCCTTACTGACAAGTAATAAGGAATCAGGTTTTTTTTTTTTTAATGTGGGCTCCTTGGATGTTCTGCAATCCTAGAAAGTGCAATGGCTAATTAGAGTGTAGACTGTGTACAGAACCCATAATAAGCACTGAGGTTGAGCATGCAAAACAGAGGGTCCCTCCTCCCATCTGAGTCGATGACATAAGGGATGTGGGGATGCAGAAGGACAGAAACAGAACACAACACAACTGAAAATATTCCACCTTCCATCTAATGACCTTAATTCATTAGTTAGGTCATAAATTTACACTATGAAATCTCTCCACTGACCTAACAGCACTTGGGATTTCTCAGTTACCTTTTTGTACCCATAATGCTTGACACTTAGTAGGTCAATAGTATTTGTGTCAAGGAATTGCTCTCCCCAATAGGAACAGCTGGTATAACTGCATATACTAATTCCAGATATGCCAGGGCCAACCTCGAGTGAGATGATGACAAAGATCAGTGCTTGTCACGTTGACCCTGAAAGACTCCATTCATTAGTTAAATAAATAAACTCTCAGATTTGGAATATAATGGTGGTAGAAGCGCAAGTTACTAATTTGCTGCTCTCAGGTAATACTGGTTTCAGGACAGTGAATGTGTCTCTACTAACAAAGAATCTGACATCAAGGGCTTAAGCTTTGTGTGCTAGTCTCTAATCCGCCGAGGCCAGTGTGTCTACAGAAGAGGGGAAATGGGATCTTTCAAATCTCCCAACTTCATCCAGTCCCTTAGAGCTCTTTTAGGATCACAACTCCAACTCCGGCTTGGATTCCGGAAACAGACACCCTAACATCTCTACCACCACAAACCGGCCCCTTCCAACCCTGCCCCATACCTGTGAAATGTGCTGCCCATCTCAATCCCCAAGCTCATTTTAGGTCCAAAGTCCACGTTCTCTGCTTGTTAAAATGGGACACAGGAAGCTCCTGGAGGAAGACACTGGGACTTGCACATCCAAGTGGCTCTTGCTGTTCAATAATCCTTTTGTTCATCTCACTAATTTCCTAGCGTCCCTAGCTGGTGCCCCCACCAAAACAACTGTCCAAGATAGCCTCCTTCCCACTCCCCTTTTCGGCACATACCCTCACCTCCCACTTCGTAAGGACATCAGCTGATACAAGATTCACAATTTTCTATGGTGCCCTCTTCCATCAAACAAACCCCTCAACCCACGCTCTGAATCCCATCACGTCCCACTCCCATGAATTTTACTCAGATGCTTATTTCCTCTCTCCTGTGGCTTTAACCTCATACCTTCACAAATGCTCAGATCTTCCCTGTCTTGAAAATGCCTTCAACTGATCTTGCAGACACTTGCTTCTGCCTGGTTTCTCACCTCAGTTTTACCAATAAAGATCTAACATCAGTGGCTAGTATCTACCCTCTGTAAGCACACGTCATTTGGATTCTAAACCTATTTGTCTAGAGTTGTTCTCTTAAAAAATCATCTTCCCTCACCTGTTGCCAAACATAACAGATTTCCCCATTCTGCTGCACCCTGACTTCTGGGCTACATTTAAACTCCCTGGTGAAGACCGCTTCTCCTTGGGCCTCCAGATTCTCTTCCTTCTCCCTCACTGTCCCTCTTCTACTTCCCTCCTGTAACCATGAGCAGCCTCAGTGCTCTTTTTCCATGGTTCTCTGCTTTCACCTCAGTCTGGGAAAGGAGGAAAATACATTTGTCCCCAAGACTGCCACTGCCTCTTCAGGGTCCAATAATCTCCACTCACTAAATTCAACTACCTCTCAAGAGGTCTGATCTCACCCAAACAACGTCCAATAAACCAGGGGCTGGCAAACTTCCGGAAGGCACCAGATAGTAAATATTGAAGGCTTCATGTGCCACACCTGGCCTCTGTAACATACTCTTCTTCGTTTTAGTTTATTTAAGAGATAACAACCAGTCTTAGCTCACAGGCTGTATAAAAACAACCACAGGCCCACATGCCATAGTTTGCCCATTCTTGTTTTAAACCAAGCTTACCTTTTCCACCAACTAGCTCCTCTGCCATTCTACCCCACACATTTTTGTCTCAGCTGATGATACCACCATGCTTCTAGTCACCTGGGGCAAATCAGCATGTTGCCCTTTGCTTTATTCATTGCTTACTCCCCATAAATCTAGTCCATATCACCAAATCCTAGTGATCCTTCAAAACATTAATCATAGCTATCTCTTCCTCTGCAGTCCCAATACCACCATGTCTGACATGGCTGTGACTACGGACACAACCCCTGCAGCCCCATTCTTGGACGCTATCCCACATCCCACACCACTGGACTAATCTTCCTGTCAGCACCAGTCCCTTCTCGCCTCAAAGGCCTTCCCTGGTTTCCTAGAGCCTCAGGAACTGCTGCCAGAGCCGACCTGGAAGTTCGGGGTCCTCAACTGGACTGGACAACTGGACACCCGCACCTGCCTGATTTTACCATGAAATGCTTAGTCAGGGAATCTGTAATTCCCCCTTTCTCAACTAACTCAAACCTGTCATTAATAGTAATTTAGAATGAGTTATTAACAAAAAAATGACTTTCAAAGCAATATGCTCAAAATAATTAAAAAGCCAAGTTCAAAAAGAGCTTTTCTGGTCGGACCCTTTAAACACCAGTCTTCTGAGAGGTCTTTAAACATGAATGCTAATTTGCAAAATTAGTTCCTGCCAACTTGATCTCTAGAGTGTTCCCTGTCTGGTGTCATCACAAAACTATTGCTAGCTTTGCAGCCAGTGCTGTTCTAAGCTTTCGAAACATTAGCCCTAGTGGATGAGGTTGTTCATTAATTAATATTTGCTCCAAGGTGAGGCTGGTAAATCCGGTCCAGCTAAAAGTTCTTTGAACTGTGTAGGAAGAAAGCTGCTACAGCTTGGTTTTGGCTCCTCAGTTCTTGCTCTACATAAATTGTAAAACAGAGCTGTTGCTTAGCTTTCTCTTTACCTGATTTTGGAACAACCAAGTATACTTTTACTTAGAGCTGGGTACCCTTAAAACTCTAGTGCTTATGAATTGTTTGGGTAAATACTTGGGGGGCCAAGGGGGTGATCCAAGGTCACTCAACAAGGGAATTTATCAACCTCAGCTCCTTTAGAAGCTCCCAAAATGGTTGTTAGGCAACCCCCTAATTTCACAGATCAACATATACAGAAACTGATCTGAAAGCGGACTTGGTTTCCAGTCTCAGCAGCTGTGCAACCTGAGGTACGTCACCTAACCTCTTACGTATGCTAAATGAAAGAGCTGAACCAGAAGATATCTAAGGTCTCCACCAAGAATACAATTCAGTGACTCTAGGAATCATAGCTAACAATATGGAAAACCATAAATCTAAAGCTAAGATTTATATTTCCTCCAAAAGCTCAAACCACACCTTCTTGGAGCCTTCCTGGCTTCTTCTGGCTAACGTTATCTCCCTCCTCGCTGCTCTGTGTATAGTTCTAAAACAGGAAGCACCCATTCTGCCTTGAATTAAAATATTGATGCACAAGTCTAGTTCTCCCCAGGAGACTGAGAGCTTCCTGAGGGCTGGGACAGGGTCCTGTGCATCTCTCCATGCGCACCGCACAGAGTGGTGCTCACACCTATTTACTAGACTCATGGCTGGATTCCTCTGTGACTTTCCACACCCCCCATATTCTGGCTCTGCTCCGATTATACAGTCAACTGTACTTTTCTGCCGGTTTCCACTCTCTGCTCCTACCAGCTCTGCTCCTCCCCGGTCCCCAAACCTGCCAATTCTTAGCCATTCCCACGTCTTGGCTCCCCACAGGCGTTGTCCAGCCCTCTCCCTCACCAAATCCTATCCATCCTTTAAGGCTTTGGGACAGCTGTATCTCCTCCATAAACTCTTCCAGATGGCTCCAGCCTTCACTGAATGGCCACAAAATTTTCAGTGTAAAGAGTGGAGTTTCTGAATAGAGAGGTCAAACCTGAGAGGACAAGAATGAAAGACCAAAAGGCAACAGATGCCATAGGGGTTCAGGAGACTGAGGGTGGCTGTTGTTTTGGTACTTAATACACCAACATGGCAAAGAGAAGGAAGCCAACACTGAGAGCCCGCTATGTGCCAGGCACTGTGCATTTTCCTCTCAAAAACTCTTGGAGGCTGGTACCGTCATTTTCACTTTATAGTGAAGAAACTGAGGGTCAGAGACGGGAATCCATCTAAGGTCACTGCTGGTAAGTAGCCAAGTAAGGAAGGGAACTGAGCCCATGAATTTAATTAAACCCCACAGTAATACATGCATACATACACTGCGAGCAAGAGGCTGAACGTGAAGTTGGCATTGTATAGAGTTGACTTTGAACTAATAACTTTTTGGAATTGTATATCAATATATGCCTGTCTTCTCCATTCCACTTCTCCATGGCCATGGGATGCTGCTGAGACAATGACACACCCCTGACACTGGGACCTTGCTGGGGCCCTGCCATCTGCCTACATGTCCCTAATGAACTCTCTCCTCCACTCCCCACATTTAAACCTGCTGCTCATTCTTTACTTCCTGAAACTTTCCTTTTCTTTGGCTTCTGTGACACCAACTCTCCTGCTTTTCCTCCTCCTGGTTTTCTCTGCCCATGCTTCTCACTTAAATTCTAGAGAGTCTCAGGTTCCTTCATCAGCCATCTTATCATGCTGGATCCTCCCTGACAGTTCTCATCTGCTCTAACAACTTCAAGTACCATCTATATGTTGCTAAGTCCATGTTCCACTTATACTGACTATGTGCTTGCATTCCCAAAAGTGTCACGCTCAGGCTCACCTCAAGATTTTTACACATGCTGTTCCCTATGCCTGGAACACTTTATCCCTTGGACTTCGACTGACTAACCCTATTCATCCCTCACTCAGGTCTTAGCTTAGCCATTATCTTCCTCTTCTCAGAGCACCAAACTCACTGCTTTGGAATCACCAGCTTCTAGACTGTCAGCTCTGAGAGCACGGACTACATCTGTCATGTTGACTGGTCTTTCTCATGCTTAGCACAGAGCAGAGTTTAAATAAACATGTGCTACATAATGAACAGATGAGAACTCTCAGATTCACACCTCCCAGATATCTCTTGTCAGCTGTAGATCCGTATATCTGACTGCCTAATGGGTATCCCCATGAAGGGGATGTCTGTCCTACAGGCAGCTCAAACTCAGCATGTCCAAAAAGGAACATGGCATCCTCCCCTACCCCGTCCCTCTCAACTTATTCCTCTTCCTCTACCTCCCACTAGATTGAAAAGTACTGCCCTCCATTTGACTCCATTGCCCAAGCAGGAAATCTGGAAGTCGCGCTGATGTGAGAGAATTGCTCTCACCTCGGTCCACCTCACTTCAGCCCTGCTATGGCCACCTCAGCTCAGGCCCAGGCATTTCTCATTGGCACTCTTGTAAGAGGTTCCCAATTGGGCTTCCTGCCTCTAGTCTGTTGTTCCATCCCATTCCCCCAAAGTGAAAACTGGAGTGAGCCTGTCATCTCTGGCTTCCAATAGCTGTTGACAAAGGCATACCAAGTCTTCCAGGTGGCCTCTGCCCGTCTCGGTGGCTTTCCCCCTACCTTTCCAGCCTGCCAGCCTGCCTGAGCACCCTGGAGTTTCTGGGTTTCCTGAGCCTATGTGCCTGCTTGTCTCTGAGTGTTGCAGGATCGCTTCCTTTGTCTGGAATGCCCTCGCCCCTCCCACCACTTGGCAACTCGCACTAGTTCTTCAGGGCTTGGTTTCTGAGGGAACCTAGTTCTTCCCTTCTGAGAGAAACCTCGGTTGACTTCCTCGGCCTCAGTTCAGGGCCCCCTTTTGTGCGTTCACAGCACCCCATGCATGCGTGCAGCACAACAGGATCATACTGACGTGACTGTTTTCTCACAGGTCTGTATCTCCCGCAAGCTTGTAAACTCCTTGTCTTATTCATCCTCAGGCCCCCAGCCCCAGCACAGTACAAAGAACAGCACGGACAGTCAGAGATTTGAACACATAAATGACCTTTCAGAGGTGGTGGAGGACAGCTTTAGAATTTGGAATTCACAGAGGATGTTTGTGTCTTCTCAGGAGATCCTGAGGGGGAACAAGGAGAGCAAAACACTGGCCCTTCTCTATTTCAGCTGCTTCTGGGCACAGAGTTCATCATAAGGAAGAAAGAAATCCCCAGATCCACTCACCTCTCACTGACAGCAAGGTTCTGTTGCTTTAAAAAACCCAGAAAAGTGTTGAGGACCCAACTAGTCACTTTTTTTGGCTCCGCCCTAGTTTCTTTTATCACATTTTGGAAAAACTCCAGTAGGCCAACTTCATTCTGTAAAGAAAAAAAAATTATATAAAGCCTCCAAAAAATTGGAAGATCAGCATTCTGCAAGATCAGCAAGGCAAATGTGAAACTGTCACCCTTTGTCTCCTCTGAGACATCTACTCATGCTTTCCTACCCATGGAGATGTCACCAGAAAATTCTGATCACTTTCAGTAAACAGCAAGTATTCTACTTCTTCTACTACTGTCACTGTGCATGCATAGAGCATTTCTCAAAGGAATGAACATATTTCAGAGAGCCCTGACTCACTGTGCATGCATAGAGCATTTCTCAAAGGAATGAACATATTTCAGAGAGCCCTGACTTGTGGACCAGAGGATGACGAAATTCACCACCCCCCAAACTTGCCTGCCCTCTGAGCGTCAGCCTTGTGTACCCTACAACCTTCATCCTTGAGCTGCATTCTGTATCCTCAGGCCCACGATGCTGGCCTGAGTTGACTGTCCTGTCGCTTTCCTGTCCTCTGCTGGAAGTCCTAGTGATTGCTAAAATCAGAAGGTAAGAAAAGAAGCAAATCAAGAAGGAACAAACAGAATATTCTACCTCTGAACACCAAAAGTGGACTATAACTGTGTTCATCTTCACGTCATCCCAAGAGGTGACAAAAATGGTTTTCAAAATGAGGAAGAACATGGGCACATGTGACCCACTTAGACCACATAACCCAGGGAGGGAACAGCACCTTCCAGGCCTTCTGAGCCAAGCGAGGCACAGCTGACCGGCCTCTCATTTTGCTCTGTGAACACAATCAGCCAAGGTGGCTCATCAAGGAGACTTACTTGAGGAGGATTCCATGGTTTCTCCCCCTCTGGATTGTCAGCCCTGTGAATCAGGGGCCATGCCGTCCTGTTCACTCCATAACTAGAGCTAAGTCAGTGCTGGGCCACGACACTGTTTGGTAGGTATCAGCGGATGGAATCAATGTCTCCTATCTCTACAGGTTTTTTTTTTAAAAAGTCCCATGTGAATGCTCATTCTTTATCATACCACGTTCACCTCTGCCACAATTATGCATAAGAGTAACCCCAAGGCACTTACCAAGTTACACTATGGCTAACTGCCAGCTCACATCGATTTGGCAGAACAAAGAAATCTGGCTAAGTCCATCCCTTGTTTTCCAGTAAGAAACAGAAAAACATGTTCCACTCACGTAGGGGCAGCTGAAGTTTCCAAAGGCAGAGGAGACACATTTTAAGTAGCAGATTTCCCCTACCTGCTCAAATTCAAATCAAACCATGCTTTCCTTGAAATACTGCTTTTTAACTTTATACTGCAGGTAAGGCTCACATCCTTGAAGAGAACCTTCATTAACTACAAGAACTTTCTGGAAAAATAAGATACTGAGAGGAAGCTTGACATACTAACAAAAGTGCTCTGAAAGTTTGGCTATTGTAGATGCCGTAACATATACACAGGCAAACAGTTGCTCAAGTAGAAATTCCATAATAAAAAAAAAAATCTACATGCCCTTTGTAACAGATAAATTCTCTGGTGACAAACCTACTGAATAATCCCATAATCATCTCTTGAATCTCTTTTCAAGCCAAGGCTATTATTCTGCTCATGCTAAACCAGGGCAAAGGTCACCTCAGCAGCCAAAGCTTGACTACAGATAAAGGCAAATCCAGGCAGCACGAAGAGGGAGCTCTGCTTAACTTACGGAAAAGTATTCAAACTTCCACAATGGTACACAAACCACTGGGGAAGTAGAAAACTGCTATCCGGCCCAAATCAGACGTGCAGAATTCCCTTTGTTCTAACCAGACAGGCTGGCCCGCTGGTGAAAAGAGCTGTCAGGAGAACTCTTTGCTTTGCCAAGGAAAGGTTTTTCTAAATCCACCTAGAAATATTGCACTTGAACTCCCAGGCTTGGCTGAGTTGCTGGGACGTGATGAATATCTATTCCTCTACCCTTGGGTGGTTTTTTTATTGGATGGATAACACGGCAAGTCAGATTTCTGTCTGTCTTTTCGTGTCAGTGCTGTGATGAAGCCTCTCTGAGCTGGAACTGTGCTTCACTAGGGGATACATGGTTTCAGTACCCCATCTGAAGTGGACATGAAAACCTGCGGTTGTGACGGGGTGAGCTACAGGCAGCGGGGCTGAAGGAGGCTGAGCTGCTGCTGCCCAGAGAATGATGGATCAATAAAGAGTCACACATGGGCTGCCTGCTCTGGCTCTTCAGCTCAGAAGCCAGTTTTTCAGAAAAAAACACATAGCATTCTAGGTAGGGTCTTAATTTTTCTATGAGATTGGAAAATGCTAATGAGCTTGGCGCAAATCTCAGAAGTCTCTGGTGAAACGTGGCCGTGCAACCATCTGGTTTTTCCAGGAAAACAGTGGGCCAGTAATTCCCTTACATAAAAACCCTATTAGGAGCAACGGAGAAAGGCCACTGCTTTAGGGGACCCTTAATGTCCTTCTCAGAGACAACAAGCAAGCATTTGATTCAGCACTAATCTATGACAGAGCTGAAACTTCAGCTACACCAAGTGTCAAGTCTCCCGGCCAATTGTAACTCTACTTGTTCCTTCAGAGATGGCTAAGGCAGCAGGGACAAGTGGTCCTGCCTTTGTATAATACCAGATCGTCTTACAGCTCCACGACAGGGAAGCATCTTTTTCACATTTTAATCAAATTTCCCAAAGCATTCAATTAGACCCAGAGCCGATGCCAGGTCAGCCTCTTGGACACTAACAGGAACCCTCCATTGCTAATGGATCTGTCAGTTGGTTGATGCTGGTGTGAGGCAAGGCAGAGGATCGTCTCATCTTCACCCCCTGCTCTGGGAAGGAATCCCGATTTACCCCCGCATCGGGCCCTGGAAGAGATGTGCTCCAAAGCCATCTTTTGCGTTCTACCTTCAGAGATGATAAAACATCAGAAGACTATCCAGTTGGACTAGGATGAAGGCTGATTTCTCAACTGCCATTCTTGTTCTGTCTAAGTCACACACCCTGTGAAGCTGATGATAGGGCAGAAATGGGGCTGGACTATATTTAGAAGTAGAATGAAACCTGATAGAGACAGCTGCCCAGGGGCAGACTCAGAGAAGAAAGAGCCCACAAAGCACAAGTTGAGGAACAACTGGTCACGTGGCAGGGAGTGCCCTGGCAGCTCCAGGGACCCTAGATTAGCAGTCCTGGGCTAGCTCTCGAGTTCAAGTGTATTTCCTGGATACCAGCTAGACATGGAGATCAGCAGCCAGTCCTGTGGGGAGCTGCATATGGCAGCTGCTGAAAATGATATTAATGATAATAGTTTTAACAGCAACAATAATAAGTGCCACATGCTGTTCTAAGTGTTTTCTCTACATTAACTCATTTAATTTCAACAACGACCCTATGAGCTAGGCACTAGTAGAACTCTCTTTTACAGATGAGGACACTGAGCACTAACTTGCTTGAGGTCACACAGTAAGAAAGCAGTAGAGCTGGGATTTGAACCTCTGCAGTCTGCTCTCTTAACCTCCGTGTTACGCTGCCTCTGATGAAGGAATGTCACATCCCTCCCTTCCTGGGGACTGAATCTGAGCACCTACTAGCGCCAGGCATAATATGAAGCAACCAGCACATCAAAAGAAAGCACTTTCACACCACTTCCACTATTTTATTTGAGAGCTGCGGCTGTTCAAAGGTTCTTATATTAAAAATGTTGCACCTAGACCATGTGGCATTCTCAACTGTGACATGACACACATCTGTTCCCAGATCAGGAGGAAGAAAGTGACACACCCCCTGACCTATGGCATACAGGGCCTCCAGGGGATGGGAGGGTGGCCGGAGCTACCCTTGGGCCTCTCTTCTGCATCTCCTCCACACCCACTCCTCAGAGAAGTTACAGTGAGCATACCCAAACCAAGACACTGCCCAATTCTGAAGTACCTTCTGACATTACAAAATAAATCCTGTTATCACTCATACAGTTTTGGAATTAAGTAAGGTATTGTACCATATGCTAACTCCTCTACCACGGGTAACTCATGCAGGAGTTTGTACGTAACTGGGCAGGTCATGCCAGTGGTGGGAGTGGCTGACAGTAAAGGGGACCCTGCATCTGAGGACTGAACAACAGCTGCTGCAACTGGGCAAGGCTCTCACGTGTCATGATGAGTCATTCTGTGGAGGTACCAACTGGAATTGCATCCACCCGCTGTGTGGTAGGGATGCCAAGGTGAGCAGCCACTGAGCCTTTCTGCAGACATTGTAAGAGGGCCTAGAATCTGCATACCCATGGGGGCTCTGTTGTTCTCTCACGATTCCTGTGAATTTGGTCATTCTTACAAAGTAAGAAAAACAGAACACAGACCCAACAACTTTGTGAAAAGTGGTCCTGAAAATAATACCAAATGCTAGTGTTGGAATGGAAATTCGGTAAGGAGGCCCTGAGACAGTGGTGGTTCTAGGGCAGAAAGCAGAGGTTATGGTTAGATTAAGGACTGGAACATTCAGTGGGGTGGTGGCTTGGATCTATGATGTGAAGGAATCCTCCCTCTGCTTTTCATGGAAACAAGAAGTGGTTGTGGGAATCTTTCAGCAAGTGAGCAAAAAAACCCGACTCATTCAGAGAAGTCTTCAAGGGAAAAACACAAGGTAGTTAATTGGTGGTGTGAGGCTGGCATTGGAAACGTGACTCTCCACTTGAGTACGTCAGGAGGAAGCCAGAATCCTGAACCACTACTGCCACTTTCAAGACTACGGCACTCTGAAGAAGCCCCGAAATTGACTCAGAAACACCAAGGGTATGCTCTCTAGTCTGTCTCAAGGAATACACAACTAGAGAGGCCTACAGTCCTATTTTGGTCCCCACAATTTTCACCTCTGGGTCATGTTCCCAGCAGGGCTTGAAAGCCCCTAAAATCTGAGCCAAATTCTGGTCCCAACAATGTCACTTGTGCTCTGTTCCCAGCAAAGCCAGGAAGTATATGCATCTGAGTTCAACTCAGGATACTAGCTCCATTCAGTGAGGATTCTCACCTATAGTTGGC